AAAGGACCTTTACAAAGAAAACTACAAAACGCTACTTCAGGAAATAAAAGAGGACACGAGGAAATGAAAAATTATCCCCTGTTCATGGATCGGGAGAATTAACATTTTCAAAATAGCAATAGTATCCAAAGTACTGTACAAATTCAATGCAATTCCTATTATGATACCCATGACATTCTTCAAAGAAATGGAGCAAACACTCCTGAAAGTTATATAAAACAATAAGCCCCCATGAATAGCTAAAGCAATTCTTGCGAAAAAGAAAATGGGAGGAATCAACCTCCCTAACTTCAAACTCTATTACAAAGCAGTAATAATTAAAACAGCATAGTACTGGAACAAAGGCAGAGCTGTACACCGGTGGAACACGGTTGAATATACTTACATCTCCCCACAAGCATATGATCATCTAATCTTTGATAAGGGGGCAAGAAAAGTGAAGTAGAGCCCGGAAAGCCTCTTTAACAAATTGTGCTGGCAAAACTGGATGGTTACATGCAAAAAAGTGTGCTCAGATCTCTGCCTAATGCCATGTACAAAAGAAAGGTCAAAATGAATTAAAGACCTCAACATCAGACCAAAATCCATAAGGTTCATTGAAGACAAAGTTGGCAAAACCGTCCATGATACTGAAACTAATGGTATCTTCAAAGATGTCACGCCACTGGCCAAGCAAGTGAAAACAGAGATAGACAAATGGGACTATCTTAAACTAAGAAGCTTCTGCACCTCAAAAGAAACAGTGACCAAAATACAAAGACAGTCTACAGAATGGGAAAGGATATTCGCCCAATACCCATCTGATAAAGGTTTGATATCAAGGACATACAAAGCACTGGTTGAACTCCACAAGAAGAAAACATCCAACCCCATTAAAAATGGGGCGACGAAATGAACAGAAAATTTCTCAAAGAAGAAATCCGAATGGCTAAAAGGCACATGAGAAAATGCTCTACATCATTAATCATCAGGGAGATGCAGATCAAAACCACAATGAGATATCATTTCATACCACAGAGACTGGCCCACATCCAACAGAACAAAAGCAACTGGTGCTGACGCGGATGTGGCAAGAAGGGGACCCTCCTTCACTGCTGGTGGGAATGCCAACTGATTCAGCCCTTTTGGAAGACAGTATGGACGATTCTCAAAAAATTAGAAATTGAGCTCCCATTTGACCCAGCCATACCACTCCTGGGAATATATCCCGGAGAGGCAAAAAAGTATAGTTGAAGTTACATCTGCAATTGTTAGTTCATTGCAGCACACTTTACAATAGCCAGAATCTGGAAAAAACCCGAGTGCCCAAGAACAGATGACTGGTTAAAGAAACTTTGGTACATCTACACAATGTAGTACTATGTAGCTGTTAGAAAAGATGAAGTCATGAAATTTACATACAACTGGTATCATGTTAAGCGAAATGAGTCAGAAAGCGAGGGATAGACATAGATAGACTGCATTCATCTGGGGAACATAAAGTAACAAAACAGGAGACTAACACTCAAGAGTGGCCGAGATTAGTAACAAAAATTTTGCTCCATGGCTTGGAGGCCAGCCACACATGCTAGGGGAAAAGGGAGCTCAGATAGAGAAGGGAGCACCAAATAAAGGGTGTTGGGTGGATCCTCTCAGGATGGGAGAATCATGTTGAATGTAGACTATAGACCAAACATGATTGCCACTTAATGCCTCTTTTGCAAACCACAACATCCAATAGGAGAGAGAGAACTAAAGGGAATGCCCTGCCACAGAGGCAGGGCGGGATGGGGGGATGGGGTGTGGGAGGGATACTGGGACCCGTGGTGGTGGAAAATGGGCACTGGTGGAGGAATGGGTGGATAAAGGATCAAACATGGTAACCTCTCAGGGTCTTTACTGCAAACCATAATGCCCAAAAGTAGAGAGAGATGAAAGGATGAAACAGCACTGACCACACAAGTGGAAGCAATAGTGAATCATGTCTGCCATGGAGGCAGGGGGAGGGTGGGAAAGGGGGGTATACCAGGGATATTGGTGGTGGGGAATGTGCACTGGTGGAGGAATGGATGTTTGATCATTGTGTGATTGTAACCCAAACCTCGGTGCCATGTAATCCCATCAACGGTCAAGACCCAGACATTATAAAACCCTACTCCCGGAAGCATCTTATTATCTAGTTCTTACTTTGGAGAACCTGGCAGGCTACCAAAAGTATCCTGCCCACATGGCAGAGTCTGGCAAACTCCCCATGGTGTATTCAATATGCCAAAAACCAGTAACAATGAAGGGTCTCATTCTCCTGATCCTGAAAGAACCTTGAATGTGACCCCGAAAGAACCTCGAATGTGGCACTTTTTAAATATCTCAGGGCTAGGATGAAGGAGACGTTACTGGGGTCTGCTGGAGACAACTGATGAACAATAGGATGACAGTAATACGTGATACAGTGAACCCAAACATGAAAGCTTGTAACTATCTCACAGTGATTCAACAAAATTTTTAAAAATTAAAAAAAAAAAGTAAGGAGGCATCTCTGCAGTGATCTGCTCAGTTCAGAGATTCTTTTTTGTGTCTCTGGATCATGACCCTTGTTTCCATTTCTTCCAGGGAAATTAACTATTGGCATGCAGGCTGCAGGGCACACCCACTAGCCTGTAGCATGCCACCGGTTCTGACTGCGGCTTTTGATCTTTCGAATTATGGGTCTCTGAAATAAGGCCAATAAATGATCCTGTATAACTGATCTGCAGGTGGTGTGTGGGTGTGTCTCCCACATACCTAAATATTGGCCGCTTAATTTCTTGGTAAACTTGGCCTCAAGTTGTTGGGTTCTGGACAAAAGCACAGCATCAATTTTGGGGTACCAGGAAGTCTGAATGAACCATCAGGCTCCTGATGCACTTGCCCCACAGGCTAATCTGCTGCCAGCACCATACCCCTAAAATAATTTTTCAATGAAAAAAGAAGTCCAAGGGAAACCAGCATCAAAGGAGAAATAAGTCAAATATTTCCAAGTATCACTGTCAAATGTGAGGTGCAATAAACACAAGGGTGGTATGGTTGTAGGAAGAAAATCTCAAGTCTGACACACAGATGAAATGGTGGCATATTTAGCTGACTTACAACTTGGGGAACTACAGGCAAACAAGACATGAAGTTTAAAAGAAAGTTTTCTGGGGAACACAGTACAGTCTTGACCAATAGGTGGACCCTCCAAAGAAAGTCATGAAGGACAGATTACCATGCAAGGTAACAACGAGTTTATGTAACAGTGTGGCACAGCAAGTTGTTAAGGAATACCACCACATGTTATTAGGGTTATTGGTAACCCAGAATATAACCAAAAGAGTGTAACTAAGAACCTAAAAACTTTGGAAAGGCAAAAAAATGAAGTGGAGATATTTTTTAATCTAAAGAAAAATGTAGAATGTATTAAGTGGTACTACATGGAAAGTATCATGCTAAGTGAAATGAGTCAGAAAGAGAGGGACAGACATAGAAAGGATTGCATACATCTGGGGAATATAAACTAACAAAATAGGAGGCTAACACCCAAGAATAGTTAAGTACCAGGAGGTTCGCTCCATGGCTTGGAGGCAAGCCGCACATGCTGGGGTAAAAGGCAGCTCAGATAGAGAAGGGAGCACCAAATAAACCGTGTCGTGAGGATCCTCCCGGTATGGGAGATGCATGCTGAAAGTAGACTCTAGACCGAACATGATTGCCACTCAATACCTCTTCTGAAAACCACAGCACCCAAAAGGAGAGAGAGAACAAAAGGGAATGCCCTGACACAGAGGCACGGTGAGATGAGGAGGTAGGTGGGGGTGGAAGGGATACTGGGATCATTGGTGGTGGAGAATGGGCACTGGTGGAGGGATGGGTACCAGATCATTGTATAACTGAAACCCAAGCACAAAAATTTGTAAGTCTGCAACTGTACCTCATGGTGTTTCACTAACAAATTTTTTTTAAAAAAAGAAAAGAAAAATGTAGAAGGTATGTATGGAAGAGGTATTACATGGCAGTGTGTAAGAAATGTGCCCTATGTATCTCTAAAAGGCAAAACTAGGGTAAGTAGGCAGAATGTCTTTTATGGCAAAAGTGAGGAGGAGGGCTGGAAAGAGAGGTCAATGGGAAAGATGCTTCCCTTGTATGAAGCCAATGCAGGTTTAAGCCCTGACATAGGGTCCAGAGTCCCTCCAAGACTGATCTCTGAGCAAAGAGTCAGGAATAAGCCCTGTTCAACAATAGGTATGGCCCAACGCCCCCCCCCCCGAAAAAAAGGAAAGCTGTAATGAATATAAAGGCAAGAGTTTTTTGCCAAGTAGGAAGCAGATAGTTTCTAAAGTTCCTTTCAAGTCAAAGATTCTAAAGGGGGAAAAAAGCAGTGGCCTATGGGGATGGGCAAACAGTGATTTACCAAGTGCATATGGGAGGCTGTTGAGGAGAAACAAAAGAATAGCTTAATCTCAGATGCCTCACATTTTGGAACTTAAGAATCTTTTGGTGTTTAAACAGAACAAATAAGGCATATAACAAAAATAAAGCTTTTAAAAACTCTGGGTACAAGAGATTATTGATGTTCTCTCGATCCTCAAAGAGGTACCTGGACAACAAGCAACCAAAAGCTTATTAGAAAAGAAAATCTCCAGGCAGCATGCCTGTATTGCATGCAGCCAACCTGGGATCAGTGCTTGGCACCAGGAGTGATCCCTGAGCACAGAGCCAAGTTTATGCTCTGAGCACTGCTGGATATGACCACAAACACAAAATTTTAAAGGAACAAAAAAGAAAAAAGAAAAGCAAATCTTATATTCCAACCAAGGCTCACTGAATCATAAGCTGTGGATTAACCGAGTTCCTAGGTGGTCACTGCTCTCAGAAAAGGTATAAATGTAAAATGGACCCCAAAGTGAGCTAATCAGATTGAGACCACAGAGCATATGACCACCCCAAACCTGAAATACATTTAATAAAACAAGATAAAACACCAGAAGAAACATGTGACTACTTACAGAATTAGGCATGGCTGCACAAGAATACAGGGTATCTCGACCGGCTAATCGTTGTATATTTTCCAAAAGCAGACCAACAAATGGGAGGTACAATTGTGCTATTTTGGCTTGCTGGTTCTGAAAAAATGATGGTTAAAATAGTAACTTTTCTAAGGGTAGTGTATACACTATTCATACATAATACAAATACACGAGAAATAAAATATCCCCCTATATTGGTACAAAGACTAAAATCAGGCTAATAGTTACAATGAATTTCTGAGGCATAGTCATTACATATTCTCAAAATTAAATGTCACAATATTTTGTGGACATTTGGATTTCTAGATTATACAGAATGGAATCATAGCCCTCAGAGCAAAATGAAGCAAAAGACCAACAAATGGCTTTAACAAATAGAAACTGATCCATTAAGGCAGATGCTATTCATCTTATTTAATTTCCAGGGCAGGTTGATTTTCACAAGATCAGGAATTGCGTCTGTCTTACTGCTTCATCTCCAGTGCCTGAGCACATAGCAGATGGTCAATACACAGCTACTGAAGAATAAAAGAAGTAAAAACCCAGTGAATTACCCTATTCACTCAAGAAACATGTTTTGGCTTTGATTAAAGCTGCAATGAAAATCATGTGATCTTAGGCCTGTGATGAAGCACCTGCTTTGGCTGTTTGAGGCCCTGGGTTCAATCCCCAGCACAGAAGTGAAAAACAAAATAGACTAAAATTACTATGGCCACCTATATCAATTTTAAGACAAGAGATATAAATATGTTTATAAATATGTAAAAACAAAACTGGTCAGCAGTAGTGTTAATGCAGAATAGCTTACTCGAATGTGTTGTTTTTCTCAGTTACAGATGTGTCTCACCAGATATGTGCATAACTTAAGTTAGCAAAAACAGCAGTGGTGGTGTCTTCCACATTTAGGATTTTAGAAAGTTTGTTCGGGGACATAGATAAGATCTTTAGGTCACAACAGTCAATCCATAGAACACACAGAGGATCAATGGTGGGTGCAGAGACACAGTACAGGGGTTATGGTGTTGGCTTTGCATGCAGTGAGCCACAGTTTGAACCCCAGCACCAGTTATGATCCCCTAAGCACTGCCAGGAATGATCCCTGAACACAGAGTGAGCAATAAGCCCTGCACACAGCTGATATGCCCCTAACAAGTTCCCACAATAAAGAAAGATGGATGGTAGCTTGCTTGTACTTTATCTTGGGGTGAGTCAATAGTTTTTCCTAAGTCTTTTGTGAATTTTGAAAATAATTCTTTTATTCTCTCTTTTTTAGAATCACTATGAGATACATAGTTACAAAGCTGTTCATGATTGAATTTCAATGTTCCAACATACATCCCTTCACCAGTGTATGTTTCCCTCCACCAATGCCCTCAGCCCCCTGCCTGCCTCTCTGGCAGACACTTTTCTTCTTTTTAACAATCATTTGTTTTGTTTTTTTTTGTGTGTGGGGGAGGCCCACATCCAGCGATGCTTAGGTTTTACTCCTCGCTCAATGCTCAGGGATCACTCCTGCTTGTGCTCGAGGGATCCTATGGGATGCTGGGGATCAAACCCAGGTCAGTTGTGTGTAAGCCCAGCACCCTCCCTACTATCCCATCACTCTGGCCTCTTAAGAGTAATTCTTGAAAGGGCCAGAGAGATAGTACCAAAAGTAAAGCTAGTACAATATGCTAGAGACTAGTACAATTTCCTATCCAAGGCAGGAATGGTTCTTAGCTGCATCTCTGACATATGCTAAGTTTTTAAATTTCTGAAACTCTTCACACCCTTTCACCAGCTCTGTTAGATACCAAGTTTCTTCATTGACTCCCTGTAAGTCCTACCTGCTAAGTACTGCTCTGCCCTTTGGAAACAAAAAGAGTAAGTCTATTCCATTTTTATATCCCAGGCCTTAAAATATTTAGAGACAGTTATCATCAACTTAATTCACTCTTCACAACCCTCATCAATCTCCTTTGTTCTTCATGTTTTTTTGATTTCGCGATTTTTCACCATCCTTATCACTCTTTTGAAGGCAGACCTAATTTCCCAATATCTCAATTAAGATTTAAGAGATTGTATAGTACCATGATCAAGATCACAGATTTGGGAATTTAGACATACATAAATTCTAGCTCTTCCATTATTAGCTACTTGATTTTCATTATCTCTATCACAATTTTCTCTTTGGCAAAATGAGTAAATAATAATGATATCAATTCATGCAATGTGCTTATGATGTCTAGAACATACAGAGTGCTCAATAAACTTTAGCTACTATTATAGCTTTCAGATGGGAGAACATTTTAGTTCTGATTGATAGCAACCACTAAGGAAAGAGATACGAGATACACTTTCACTCTCTCACAGGTGAACAGGAAAATCGTCAATAGAAATGCATTAAGAGTTTTGAATGCACATGAACTGAAGCAATATTACAGTAGGTAGGGTGCTTGCCTCCCTCCTGGCCAACTCAGATTCAATCTCTGGCAACCCATATGGCCCCCCCACCCCGAGTACTGCCAGGAATTATCTCTGACTATAGAAACAGCTGTAAACCCTGAGAATTTCCAGGTGTGATCCAAAAACCAAAACCTAAAACACAAAAAGCAAAAAAAAGTTTGACTGCAAAAAGAAAAACATATAAGAGTCTAATAATAGATGAGTGGTTAGTTAAGTAATGCATATCTATAGGATGGGATGACATAGATTTTTTTCTTCTTAATATATTTATTTTTTATTAAAATTTTTTATATTGAATCACCATGAGATACACAGTTAGAAAGTTGTTCATGACTGGGTTTCAGTCATACAATGTTCCAAAACCTGTCCCTCCACAAGTGTACATTTCCCACCACCAGTGTCCCAGATTTTTAAGGCAGTCAATAAAATATTCAGGATGTATTTTGTGAAAATATGCACATGGCTTCATATACATATAAAACTATACACACACAAAATACATAAACACAATGCATACTGGTAATATCCACTATTTTTGCAAAGATAATTTAGAAAATAGAGATAAGATATGGGGAATAAGTAATTTTTCAGGGAGCAATACTCAGCTGTGCTCAGGACTTACTCCTGGTTCTATGCTCAGAGATCACTCCTGGAGGGGTTCAGAGGACAGGAGGTGCAGAGAATCGAGCCCAGGCTGACTGAGTGCAAGGCAAGCACCTTACCAGCTATACTATATCTCCAGGCCCAGGGTAAGAATTTGAATGTTTTTTCCTTACCATGTATGTGAACTACTTTTTAAATTTTTTTATTGAATCGTCATGAGATGTACAGTTACAAAGCTGTTCATGATCGTGTTTCAGTCATACAATGTTCCAACAACCATCTCTCCACCACTGTACATTTCCCACAACCAATGTCCCCAGTTTCTCTCTCTTCCCCGCCCCACATCTCTTTCTTTTTTTCTCCTCCCCCTCCCTTTTAGGCATTATAGTTTGCAATACATACTGAGAGATTATCATGTCTGTTCTTTGACCCACTTTCAGAATGCAATTTTTATCCAGAGTGATCTTTGGTATATCTACACAATGGAATAATATGCAGCTATTAGGAATTTCATGAAGTCATCAAATTTGCTTATAAATGAAAGACATGGAAAGTATCATGCTGAGTGAAATGAGTTAAAAGGAGAGTGACAGACTTAGAATGACTGTCCTCATTTATGGGAACTACTTATGTTTTAAAAAAAAAAAGAAAAAGTTGTGTCAGAAAGATGTCTCAATAGGTTAGAGTACAGGCTGGCTGGCAGGGCCCCAAATTCTATCTCTGGTACCACATGTCCCCCAAGCACTGTCATGAGTGACAACTTAGCACTGAGCCAGGAGTAGCTCCCTGAGCATCACTGTGTGTGCCCTCCAGGGGTAAGGAAATAAGATTTCCTGTCAGTTAAAGTGAAAGTGAGAGTCTCTTAGTATCAACAAGACTGACAGTGGGTAAAAGAATCGAGACACACCCCTCCAGGTCAAGTATCAGACACTGGACTCTATTATGATGAATGGGGGTCAAAGAGTACTGGGGCTAGGGTGCTTCTAATTTCCAATATTGCATATGGTTTCCTGAGCACTGCCAGGAATGATCCCTAAATGATCCCCAGAGCCAGGAGTAAGCCTTGAGTAACAGTGGCTGTGGCCCCTGTCCCCCACCTCACTCCTTACCCCTAAAAAGAATATTGTGCTGAATAGGAAAAAGCTGTCTCATGGTAACTGTAACAACTTGGGAAGTTTCTCAAAACACAATTTGTAAATAGTACAGGCAAGGGACCAGGGGCATTTCTAGAATATCATTCAAAAAGGGGCTGAGAAGAAGCAATGTGACTGGAATGAGAGGAAAGGCTAGTCACTGAGGGATCTACTCTCAAAGGAGCCTTTAACAGGAAGTTCTTTTTTCCCAATGATGGTAGATTTTTCCAGGGCCATTTTAGAGGTCCCAACAGAATTTATAGGGGCTTGAAACTCTCTCTTCTCAATCATCCCATTGGCATCATCATTAGTAGTGAATATTTCATTTGACATAAAACATTCAAATGTGACAAATGACTTAGTCCTCATTTCATATGTCCTCTCTGCACCAGAGAGAGCAAAGGACACTACTTCCTTGTCCCACAAACCAGACTGGAAGCTGGAATAGTGACAGACTTCAAGTTCTATTGAAAAGATTCCTCTATTCATTGAACATCCATCAGAAGCTTTGGAACAAAACAAATCACTTTAGAAAGAGCAATGAGTTTGGTATTTCAATCGTCTCCAGGTCTAAACATCCAAATAGGCACTGTGTTTAAGTTATTGAACCAGAGCGTTGTATACATGCACCTGTGCGTGTGTACACTCACTGCTCTGGGAATTATAGGGAAAAGTAAATAACACTCTAATATGGTGATATAAAACATTTAAAGCTCCTCCTCTAGGTAAGACACTAGTGAAATCTCACTTGTCTTCATTTGCATCTGAAGATATGGAAAGGGAAAACACAACTTACTACTTTAAGGAAGGTAAGTTCACTTTGTCCCTTTCCTATAAATCCTCTGACATTGCAGTTGAAACCTTTGTAAGCCACACTGCGTAAGATCCTCTACCTCACTATCACAGTGTTAATGGGAACCAGCAGTAACTGGCATTGTGTGGGTGGGTGATGGAGGCAGCAGTATTCCATTCTCAATAGTGTTCAAGAATATTCCTGGCATTGTGCTCAGGAGTGACCCCTGGCGGTGCTTGGGGGAGCATATGTGGTGTCAGTGGTACCAGGGATTCAAACCAGGGTTGAGGAAATGTCAGGTAAGCACCTTATTTCTGTACCTTATCTCTGGCCCCATTATTTACACATATTGTACCTTGTGCAAAGACAGTGACAACATTGACTCACCCAAAAGAAAATAATGCATAATGAAGCAAATTACCTGAAGTGGAGGTGATTGTTATAGTGACATTAGAACCAAAACCACCCAAACTGCAGGAAAAACTAACATGTACAAACTAAGGAATTGAAAAATATTTTATCATAGAATTTGATTAAAGAATAATAGCATGATTTGTAAAGAAAAATATCTTCGTAATAAAAAAATATGTCTGGATAAAGCTGCCAGATTTTCTATTTAGTAAGGAATGGTTCAGAAAATGAATAAAACCCACTGTCAATTCAACTCTCTAAAGTGATTACAATAAAAATGTGATAAAAGCATGATCAGGCCACCTTGCTGGTAAAAAAAGGCCAGTTCCACAACTAACTGAGAAAAGAATATGGTGCTACTAAATCTTCTCATGTAGACTGGTCCAGGCTGCGAACTCTGGGGCATTCTCGAATGGGGGCAGGCAGATTTCCCTTTCTGCCTGAAGGCATGGCAAGCAGAAGCCACAGCCAATACCCTCCAACATAGAAATGGCCTGGCTCTACAACTGAACCTCATCAAACTACAAAGCCATCATAGCTTCTGGATGGAGCTATGAGATTTGGACACCTCCAATTCTTAGTAATGTCAGCCCAGCAGGATCACAGCAAATCTGATGGAAAAGTTGCACAGAAGACCATCAAGCTCAGTAAACCTAAACAATAACACAGAAGGCTCAAGTAGCACCAACCAGCCCAGTCCTCAGACAATGACTGAGATAGGACATTAGTAACACCATTAATAGATATAGCAATTACTACAAATTAACTTTTAATGATTTAAGTTGTGATACTTCCATTTAGCTTTGTGTTATACCAAAGAATATGAAGTAAATTTGTCTGTGCCTACAAGGGGGCCGGCTGGGGTGGTGGGTGAGAAACATGACACATTGGTAGAGGGAAGGTTGAACAGGTGTGGGATTACTGTTGGAATATTTAATGCTGGAAACAACTGTATTATGAACAACTTGGTAAAAAAAAAGAAGAAATGTGATCAGAATTTTATTTATATTTGAAGGCAAAAACAAAGAGATGAATTATTCATTATGAGAGATAATGATATTTCATAAGGCATTGGGGGCATTATTCTACAGCCACACCAGGTGGTACTTAGAGGAATGTGGTGCCAGAGATTCAATTAGGGTTGGCCACATACACCGTTTGTACCTTATCTCTGTACTCTCTCTGGTCCCTCCTTCAATCATTTGATTGCAGTAAGTTAGGTTACTCATTATTTATTGTTTTTAGTCTAATTTCTTAGGCCCAGAGTATTTCATGTTAATAATATATGACTACATATGCACATGCATATGTACATATACGGATGACTTTTTGGTGATACCAGAGATGGAAATTAGAGCCTCACACATGCAAGGCAAATGCTCTACCTTGGCTTTTCTGTCATACTACCAGTTTGGGGGTCTTTTGACTCACTGCTCAAAGGTCACTCTGGCAGTGCTCTGGAGACTATGTGGTGCCAGGGATTAAACTGGAGTTCCTGCACACAAGAATGCATGTCAGATTGTTGAGCTATCTAAATGGGTCATAGGTCCTATATTTTTTGTGGGGGAGGGGTTGTTTTTTGTTTTTATTTATTTTTTTAAAGCATGGTCTCACCATGAGATACAGTTACAAAGTTCATGATTGGGTTTCAGTCATAGAATGTCATACATTGTATTCAGTCATACAATGTTCCAACACCTGTCCCTTCATCAGTGTACCCATATTCCTTACTGCTACCCCACTTCCCAGTCTGCCTCTATGGCAGGCACTTTCCTTCTCTTTTTTTCTCTCTCTCTCTTCTCTGTTTCTCTTTCCATCTAGGCATTAAGGTTTGCAATACATGTATGAGAAGTTTGCCCCTTTATCTTATTTCAGCACTCAGTTCTTGTCCAAAGGGATCATTTCCAACTATCAAGGCCCTAAACATTAAAGGCAGAACAAATAGTAACTACAGTTGTGGCCTTCACAATAGATAATGTGCAATGTCTGAATGGTTACAGCCACCCACCCTACATTTTATTCTAAGAAAAAATCCAATTACATATTTTCAATACTTTACACATATATCTATATTTAGCATATCTTATTAACCAATTAACCAAAAGTAGTATATATATTTAAGGAGACATATACTAAAATATATGTGTGAAAATTGCATGGTTACAACCCTATCTGATCTTTTTTCTTGGTTTGTTCTGGGTCATATCCAGCAGTGCAAAGGATCTACTCCTGGGTTGGTGCTTGGGGAATCAAATAGTGCCAGGGAATAAACCCAGACCCCACACATGTAAACCAAGTGCTCTTCTACTGAACAACACCTCTAGGCCCCTATATGATTTTTTTTAATTTGGGGAGAACTTTTTGCTACACCCAGTGGTAGTCTAAGCAACTCCAGGCTAGATACTCAAGGGTCACTCGGAGAAGTGCTTGGGATACCACTTGTGGTGCCGAGGATCAAACCATGCTCCACTATACAAAGTAAGCATTTAAATCCCTCTGGATTTCCCTAAGCATTTATCTCTCTGACCCTAAAAGTTATATATATATATATAATATATATAATAAATACTATGATTATATTGGCATCCTTACCTTGTGCTGGTATCTAGTGTCAAATGCATGCTTTATCAAGAGATTCTTGATGACAGAGATAGCTGTATATCTGATCTCATAACTATCTTGAAGAGCAATGGAAGTTTCCCTCAGAAGTAGACCAACCAAGAAGTGATGTTTGCAATACTCATCTGATAAACTGTATTCAAGGTTTGAATCTGTAGTACAATGAAATTAAGACTCACTTTAGAAAATATTCAAAAATTAATTTAGAATGAAAAGTCAGCATTAATTAGTAATATGTGATCATGCCATCATGTGCTAAAGTATTAATAGAGCTGAACAATTCTTTTATCATTGAGAATGAGCATGCAAACATCTACAAGAAAGGGGCACTCAGGGATAGCAGAGAGCTTTAATGAAAATTTTTATTTGCAACATGGTCTAGATTCTGTTTCCCCCCTAGATAATTTTTAACTCCTAGATTCCACTTAAAAATCAAAGATATATATATGTGTATACATATATATATTTGACAATGGCTTAACACATTTCTTTCTAAAGATATTTAGCAGTAATTACATAGGCAAGTTACTTATCTCTTTATATTTGTCAAGTAAGTAATGGAAGAGAAAACAAACATCTGAATCCTTCTAATAGTATTAACTATGGACTACTTAGCAAATATTACCTATTGACCAGAATACAGGGGGATATAAGAACAGGAAAAACAGTTTCATCTTATGCCAATTCATCATCGCATAAATATATACAGTGCATTTCATACAATCACCACTCCAAACTATGTCTTTCATTCCCTTTTAAGTCCCTAGTTCTGTTTAAATCCTGGCAGTCAATATCCTGGTTGGGATACTACTCAGATGGGATTGTAACCAAGTTTAGTAATTTCCAAAGTATATTTCTACTCTCTAATCCTCTTGCATACCTTTTCACTTGGGCAAGAAATCTGAAGAACAAATTTGCTACTTCTATGGCCTCTTTACAACTTAACAGAAGTACTCAACTAGGATTTAAATACTATGAGTAGTCACAGTTAGTCCTAAAATCTTGATGAGCTTCCTTACTGTTTCCCTAACTTCTTCACTGTTTCCTCAACTTCCTCGCTGTTTTCGAAAGGAGGGGAAGCATTTGAGATACACAAATGCAGACTCTGAGACAAAGGGGGAGGTAATGTGGGTAGGGCTGCTCAAATTTTTAAATGCTCCCTCATTTTTACCAGCTGTAATTCTATCACTGAAACCACTGTCCACTACCTACACCTCCTAGAAGTCAACACAGTGAAGTTTCTTCCTGCCAGGGGACAAGCTTCTTTGTGGATCCTTATCACTTTCTATGCAGAAGGGATGGTCCTAACTAAACCTTCGAGGCTTCACTGGGTGACAAATGTGGGAGAAATGATGTACATTTGGTGAACAGAGTCCTTCTACTCCCCTTTCCCACCCCCACCCCCACTGGGGCTGGCTTGAGCAGAAAGTTGTTTTCTGCAGGCAGTGTTTGGAAGTTGGCTCCTCAAGCAATGCTCAGATTTATTTTCCAAATAAACACACTGCCTCCTAGGTTTTCTGGGTCCATTAACCACAGTATGCTTTGGGTTAGGGAAGAAATGCAAAGCAAACAAAGCCCCCATCCCTCTGAGCAATTCATCAAATCAATCGTTTTCAAAGCAAACTTCTTGAGAGTGAACCGAGTTAAACCTACCTACTGAAGTCAAACGGTCCACCGCAAATGAAAAAAAATCTAATTAATATACGAAAAGAAAAGGGACAAATAAAAAACATAGTAACATAAGAATAGTGCTACACAGCAAAGCATTCAATAAAACTTGCATTGGAGATAACTTAAGTTTATGGACTTAATGCATGCATATATTACTCTATCTTACTCTGCCCTTACATTTCTCTTGTGATGGTCTATCTGTTCAGGTGGAATATACATTTGTGTCTTTCTTACTTTAGCCTCATTACAGTGCAAACACTACTATACAGAGCAACTTGAAAACAGTCTGGTATCTGTGTTTAAGCAGTAATCTATAAAATGTGACAATTTCTCCTAACTACAAATATTACCAAGGATAAGATACTCTGCAGGAAATGTAGAAAACCACTGTCTCTAAGCAAAGAATAACTTCTCAGCATAGCTTTAAGTTGCCTAACGAACTAGAAAACATCTCGCTACACTAGCACTAGCTCAAATTCTAAGAAAAAAGAAAACAAATACAGACCTTGAACTCGCTGAAGTTTAGGTTTGGCAAAAGCCATTGGCAAGTTCAGAGGAATATAATGTTCATGATTGCAAATGGTTTGCAGAAATTCAAACTTGTATTCCGCCAGAACCTAAATGCAAAGAAATCACACATCCATTCATATTTTATAGACAATAGTTAGGTGAATAATGAAATACATAACCTTCCCAAATGCTTTCTATGTTCTCAGCATACCTAGATGAACACAGCATTTCCAAATCTTCCCATGAGAAATTAATGTCATCCTAGAACTTACACAGGGCAAGGAACCTTATTTCAAGACCTACTTGGATATTGGGGGAGGGAGGGAGAGTGTTGGATTGTATACAGCAGTCTTCAGGGAATATTCTTGGCTTTGTGCCCAGGAGTGACTCCTAGCAGAACTTGGTGAACCAAGGATTCAAACTGTGGGGGCAAGGGGTAAACTGCATGCAAGACAAGGACCTAAACCCCTGTATTATCTTCCTGGCCTCCAATGCGCATAAATGTAATGTAATTCTTGGTCACTACAATAAAGACAGATAGGCAGAGGCAACCGATGAGAAGCAATCATGTCTGTCTCCTCATGCACTAGTGTCAGACGCTAGGATTTGGCAGGTGTTACACAGTCTATGGGTCAGATATTCCCACCCCTGCTACAGGAATACCTTTAGAACTTACCTTAGGATCTTTGGGACTGAATCCCGATATGTAGTCATTTATCAGGTTAAAAACAAATCCTCTATCCATTAGTGTCAAACAGCGCTATAGAAACCAAATCAAAATGCAATTAGTTATACAGTGCCAAAAGTCTACAAAGTTAAAAAATTTGTTCAGGGGACTAGAGTGATAGCACAGCGGGTAGGGCGTTTGCCTTGCATGCGGCCGACCCGGGTTCAATTCCCAGCATCCCATATGGTCCCCTGAGCACCGCCAGAAGTAATTCCTGAGTGTATGAGCCAGAAGTACTACCCCTGTGCATTGCCAGGTATGACCCAAAAAGCAAAAAAAAAAAATAAAAAATAAAAAATTGTTCAACATTCAGGGGGTGATACTGTCATTTTTACAGGTAAAAGAATAATAGCCTTCAAAGACTGGAGCAATAGTACAGTAGGTAGCGTGCTTGCCTTGCACACGTCCAACCTGGGTTCGATCCTTGGCATCCCATATGGTCCCCTCAGCACCACCAGGAATAATTCTTAAGTACAAAGCCAGAAATAACCCCTAAGCATTACCAGGTGGGGCCCAAACAAACAAACAAAAAAAAAAAAACAAAAAAAATAAGAAGAATGGCCTTCAGACCCTTAGGTTATTTTATTTGTTTTGGATCACAGCCAGCAGTGTTCAGGGCTTACTCCTGACTCTGTGCTCATGGATCATTCATGAAAGTGATTGGGGACCCTCTGTGTTGATGTGAACATCACCTAGGTCATTCACATACTAAGAGAACCCATCATACTACCTTTCTGGTTCCAATTTGGGTGATCTTGAAGCAAAATATAAAGGACAAGAGATTTATTGTTGTAACTCAAACTCAACTGTGTGACTTTCTTTTTCTTTGGGTGGCACCAGAAGTGCTCAGGGGCTATTCCTACTCCCAGAGGTACTCCAAGAACCATGTAGTGCCAGGAATTGAACCAGCATCAGCTGCACGCAAAGCAAGTGTTTTAACCCCTGTATTATCTCCACTCCTCAACTGTGCAATTTTCCAAAAATATATACAGACATATAAACATTCATAGATATATGCATACTCATATATTCATATATATAAATTCATATATATTCATATAAATATATAAAATATATCCAGCTGCACTGCTTTATTTTGGTCAACTATTTTCAAAGCTCAAAGTATAGTTACTGAGTGTGCCTTTCCCCTGTAAACATTTCAGAAAAATAATGAAAGAATTTTTGGTGTATTCTATGAAATGCATTCTTCCTCCATGACAGAACTAATGGCTATCATTCTATAGTTATAGTCTTCATTAAATTTTTTTTAGGATTTTGTGGACTTGAGAGAATGTACAGTGGGCAGGAAGCTTTCCTTGCACATGGTTGACTCAAGTACAATCCCTAACATATAGTGCCCACAAGCCCTGCCAAGAGTTATCCCTGAGCTTAGAGCCTGGAATGAGTCCTGAGCACAACCAGGTGTGACCCCAAAACAACAACCAAAAAATTAAATATAAATGTTCAGGGTTTGGAGGCTGGGGATATGGTTCAATGGGAAGGTATATGTCTTGCAGAGAGAGGATCTGGGTTAGAAACCCACCACCAAACACAAAAATCTTAAGTGTTTAAAGCTGAGCAAGTAGACTAAAAGGTTGGAGTTAGTATCTTGTATGTTCAGGGCTCTAAGCTGGATCCCCCACACTGCAAATTCCCACAAGCACCACTGGGGTAGCCCTAAAGGTCCATAGAACTGCTGGAACTGAACAACATGGCACTAGTGGCCCTGCTGGCATCCTGAGCATTGCTTGTGAGTTTCACACACATCCCCAAAATACCTTTGGTATTTTTCCCAAATGATTTCACTCAGTTGTGGTACACAGAGAAAAAAGTAAAGTGAATAAAACAAACCCGAAATAAAGGCTCTAAGAACAAAATTTAGGCAAAGAAGGTGGAATAATCAGGGAAAAGTGATCAATTAGATGATGCAGGATGGAAAAGAGCTTTGAGGGGGTTGAACATACAGGGGCTGACTTATAATGCTCTATGTACACCTGAAAGTACCAGTTACTTCAATTAATAAGCTTTACCAATAAAAAAAAAACCTTTGGTGCTTTATTCCTGAGGTTATCTAACGCCTTCCATTGTCTGGCACTGGATAGCCTTACCAGCTCAACTCCCATACATTCTGAACCCTGTACAATGATGTGTACATCTCTAAACTATTCCTGAATCATATTTTCCCATTTACTCATGGATGTTCTACTTAAAATACCCTTAGGCTTGTCTTGGTGAACTTCATTTCCTTAGACTATGTACAAATGCATGTATATATGCATATGTGTATGTATGAATTCATTCATTTATTTCCATCTCTTCCCTTCATTATTGTTAATGTTGTGATGACTGAGGTGGGGTGGGAGGGGATAAAACACCTGAACTGGGATTCTGCTATGATAACACACTTGGGGGTAGTATCATGGTTCTAATGGCCTCATGCTGAATTCAAATCAACCAGTGGAGCTATATCCAGGTTCAGTGGTTCTTCTAGACTCTGTTCATACTGCCTGGTCACTTCCTTTCCTGTCTCCTATATTTTGTTTTTACTCAGTCTAACAGCAGTCACACTTTCTCTAGTGTATGCATTTGAATGTGAAAACAATACTATCCTCTCAGTTCTGTGAAGTTTCACATTAGAATACAAGTGTTTTTGCAGTCTATTAGTACTGCTATTTAATCAATTCTGTTTCAGTTCTCTTAAACTTCAAACATAAATTCCAGAGGTAGCTGCAATTTTACATTGCTTGTAGTTTCTTTGCTTTAAAATGAGGTGTGGAGGTTTGGGGTTTTAACACATCAAAAGTTCTAAGAGTTTTTAAAAAAATGTTACAACTGTATTTAGGTTTTAAAACACAGTTGTAAAGTATAAATATAGTTGCTACAAGCAAGAGAGGTCTTGTGTCAGAAAATTATTCTCTTAACACTTAAAAAATTAGTTGGCTGTATTTCACTTTTAAAGAGTATATTGGACATTAAAACTGGTTGGATAGTAACCTAAGGCGTGGTCCAGATGCATTTCTGCCAAAAGTCACTGGGTTTCGAGATTTGTTTCTGAGTCTCTGGGATGATGCAAGTTCCGTTAAGCAGCTTGATCAGGAGCCAGAGAGACCGTTTGTGGGTGACGACTTGGGGTCTCGTTGGGGTGGGGAGGACAGGACCAGCTCCATACCTATCCAGTGAGGCCCAACAAGTTTCGTCACTGCAGGCCTAAGCCTGACTGTCCAATGGCCTCTGGAAGATGACAGCCAATGAGCCGCCAAGGGGGAGCAGGCAGAGTGACAACACCCTTTCCCCCCTGGGGTGGCCCGGCGACAGTAACCTACTGTGGGGTACGGACGCATTTCTGCCAAAAGCCACTGGGTTTCAAGATTTGTTTCTGAGTCTCTGGGATTATGGCTGTTAAGCAGCTTGATCAGGAGCCAGAAAGGCCGTTCATGGGCGATGAATTGGGGTCTCGTTGGGGTGGGGAGGACAAGACTGGCTCCACCCCCATCCCGTGAGGCCTAACATGTCTCATCACTGTGGGCCCAAACATGACTGTCCAGTGGCCTCTGGAGGATGGCAGCCACCGGGCCGCCAGGGGGAACAGGCCAAGGCATGAAACCTATTCTCACCTAGGTTGGCCCAGCACCAGTAACCTACTGCAGGGACCGGACGCATTTCCGCCAAAAGCCGCTGGGTTTCGAGATTTGTTTCTGAGCCTCTGGGATCATGGCCATTAAGCAGTTCAATCAGGAATCAGAGAAGCCATGCCTCCAATTATCTAGCTGAGCCGGAGGTGGTTTGTGGGTGTGTTTCCCACATACCTAACTTTTGGCCGTTTACTTTCTTGGTAAACTTTGCCCCAAGTTTTTGGGGTCTGGCCAAAGGCACAGCAGCAATTTTGGGGTATCTGGAAGGAAGTCTGAAGGCGCCATCAGGCTGCTGATACACTCGCCTCACAGGTACAGATTGATCTGCTGGCGACTGTCGCCAGGCCACTCCAGGGGGGAAAGGGTGTTGTCCCTCCGCCTGTTTCCCCTGGCAGCTCAGTGGCCATCATCCTCTAGAGGCCATTGGACAGTCAGGTTTGGGCCTACAGTGATGAGACATGCAGGGCCTCACAGGATGGGGGTGGAGCGAGTCCTGTCCTCCCCACCCCAACAAGACCCCAAGTCATTGCCCACGAATGGCCTCTCTGGCTCCTGATCAAGCTGCTTAACAGCCATGATCCCAGAGACTCAGAAACAAATCTTGAAACCCAGTGGTTTTTGGCAGAAATGTGTCCAGACTCCGCGGTAGGTTACTGTTGCTGGGCCACCCCAGGGGGAAAGGGTGCTCTCCCTCTGCCTGCTTCCCCTTGTTGGCTCGGTGGCTGCCATTCTCCAGAGGCCATTGGACAGTCAGACTTGGACCCGCAGTGACGAGACATGTTAGGCCTCACGGGATAGGGGTGGAGCCAGTCCTGTCCTCCCCACCCCAACGAGACCCCAAGTCATCGCCCACGAACGGCCTTTCTGGCTTCTGATCAAGCTGCTTAACAGCCATGATCCCAGAGACTCAGGAGCAAATCTCGGAACCCAGGAGGTTTGGGCAGAAATCCCTCCAGATTTAAGTGTTAAAATTTCAGAATTTCAAAATCGGGCGGCCACTACTGCTGCCACGTGACATCATATGTTATTCATAACCAGCAATAGAAACCAAATTGTCTACTATTGCCTTTTCGGCAGATCTGAGTGTTGAGGTGAAATCTCAAATAATAATGTTGGGTCTGGTGTCAAAATATTGAATGTGATCAAAGTATAGAGAGAGTAATATGGAAATCATCTGCCCCACAGGTAGGGGGAAGGTGTGGGTATAATAGGGTTGTTGGGGGTGGAGAATGAGCACTGGTGAAGGTACGTGTGCTTCATTGTATGACCAAGACTAGACCCGAAAGCTTTGTAAGTGCTCTCACAGTGATTCAATAAATAAAATTATAAAAAAAATGAAAAAGAAAGGTGGAGTTCATGCACAATTCAATCAGCTAATCAGTGGCTGAATAAAAAGCAGTAATACTACATAAAAAAAACTGGTTTGACAGAGCAGAAGACTTTTATTTATTGTAGATTAGGAAACAGTGTTAAAATTTATGGTATCGATATACAAATTTTCTACACACCCCTATTTCAAAGTGCCCACAACCTCTAGTTTGATCTGTCTTTCCATCTTCTGATACTCCCATTATTTATAATTGATCTGTATTCCAATACCAAGGGTTTGTTTGTTTAGTACTTTTTATGTTCTTATTTCAATTCCACAGATTATAGAAATTATCCAGCATTTTTACTTTTCCCTATGCCTTATTTAACATGATACCTTCCAATTCTATCCATGTTGCAGCAAACTGCATGATTTCATCTTTTTTTTTTTTTTGCTTTTTGGGTCACACCCGGTGACGCTCAGGGGTTACTCCTGGCTCATGCACTCAGGAATTGCTCCTGGCGGTACTCGGGGGACCATATGGGATGCTGGGAATCGAACCTGTGTCGGCTATGTTGGTTGCGTGCAAGGCAAACGCCTTATTCGCTGTGCTATTGCTCCAGTCCCGATTTCATCTTTTCTTATAGCACACAGTATTTATTATATACATACACCAGCTGTTCTTGCTCCATTCATCTGTAGTTGGATATTTCAGGTTGTTTCCATATCCTGGCTATTATACTAAGCACTGAAATGATCTGAAGTTTAAACAATGGTCATACTATATAATTGACAATAAGGCACCAAGAGAGAAGGAGGGATGGTATTACCAAGTTTATTACAAGAACATGCCTGTCACCTATAACCACACAAGTACTATTTCTGCCCACTTCACAGAATGGTTTCATTGTGGTACTGTACCTTTCTTATGTAGCTTACCTATCGATAGAAACTAAATAGAAGCCTAAGGTTGTGGCTTGATGGGTAAAGCACATGCCTTATATGCTCAAGGCTTGGGTTTAACCCATGCCACCATATTTTCCCCATACAAGTGTTCCAAGTATGACCCTCTCACAACAACAGTGACAAAATCAATATAATATAATGGTTTTGGGGTTTGGGGACTCACTTTACTTTGCTCATGGCTTACTCCTGACTCTGCACTTGTGTATCACTCCTGGCAGGGTTCAGGGTACCATATGGGGTGCCAAGGACGAAACCTAGGTCAGCCACGTGCAAGGCAAGTGCTTTTCCCACTGTACTATCTCTCTAGCCCCATAAAAATATTTAAACAAAAATATCAGAATAATAAATGTATTTCTTTTATAAACACAGGGATTTCTGGTATATCTCCAACAAAGTAATCTCTTTGGATAAATTTAACACTTTTCACTTATACTTGTCAAGACAATTCACAAATACATTGCTTTCATTTAAGAGCTGCAGACTCTAAGGCCAATAGGAGTCAGAGAGTATATCTAAATGTATAAGGTCTGAGGGTAGACTAAGGCGTGGTGAGGACTGTGGTAACCTAGAAGAAAAATGACCATCTAAAGACATTCGAATTAATATACTTGAAATGACATCATGCAAAACAAGCAAAACACACATGTTACCCATGTGAAACATCTGATTTAATTTAATTAATGAGCCATTTCAGGGGAAGAGGGGCTTCAAACTTGGCTATTTTCACTCCACTGATGGACTCCCCCAGCATCTTTATAGAGAGTACAGGAATCTCTAGGAGTTGAATAATTTTTCCTCTGACTTTTTAAATACTGCATTGGCAGAAAAAAAGTTCTTTACCTCATCCCAGCTGCTTTTAACTTACCTTAAGGAAGCTAGCCAAACTGTAATTGACATTTCTGGACTCTTCAGGAATCTCTCCAAAACGAATAGTCACATGGGGAATGATCGCCAGGAGCAATGAATGCAATACATGATGATATGCCTCAGGAAATCTCTGGCCTCTGGGAAGCTTAAATTAAATAGGCATGTTTTTAAAAGGCAGGTACAATGTGTATAAGTCAATTGCCACTGTTTTTTCCCATTTGAGAAGGTCACTCCTGGGAGGATTTAGGGATTACTTCTGTCTCTGTGCTCAGAGGTCACTCATAGCAGTGCTCTGGGCACCTATATGGTGCTGGAGATTAAACCATTATCAGCACCCTGGAAGACAAGCACCTTAACCACTGTACTATCTCTCCCACCAGCCATTTCCCTTTCAAACAGATTCTATATTCAAGGCCATTTTAATTGGAATCTAATTTTTCTCGCAAATTAATGTGTGCTGTTAGAACATTATAGAAGCTATCTGGGTCTCTAGTAATAGAACTGACTAATATCATGAATAAGAGTGGGTCAATCTGGGGTTAGGGATGTAGCTCTGTAGTAGAGCACTTTGTCTTGCAAATTTGAGATCCTGGGATATATCTCCATCTTGAGAAGAAAAGAAAAAGAGTGGGTCAGTGGGTCATTGTGAACCAACTTTAGACTCATGTTCCTGAAATGCAGACATATCTTCGTTTTTATTCCATTTTTCTTGGACAAACAAAGCATACATGCATTTATGCATCTCAATTTCAATCAGATCATCAGTAAAATTTTTGGTAAAAATGATAAATATAAGATGAGCATTTTTTAACTTCACAAGATTTTTCTTTACAATTCCTATAACTAAGAAGAATTCTCTGTAACTTTAAAGTAGTTTTAAAGTACACCAAAATGAATACGCCATGTTTCAGGAACACATCTATAAAGAATTTTAACTTTGCCACCTGTCTTAGACCTTCCTTAAGAGCAAGGCCCTTTTGGCTTGGTACTTATTCTCAAAAAGGAGTGTTTTGACATAGACATTTTGGGGTAACCTCAAAAAATCAGCCCACTAAGAATTTTTTAATCACTCTCATGGTGACCCAACCATTCTTCACTATTCTCTTTTTCTTACAATAACGAGGACAGGATGAATACTTGGAATACATGAATTCACCATCTTCTAACATGCCAGTCTGTTTCCATTAAAACAATTTTTGTTAATTTATTTTTTTAATTAAATCAACATGGGAAACTCAGTTAAAAAGTTGCTCATGACTGGATTGAACATGCAATGATCATACAATGTCCCAACACCCATCCCTTCACCAGTGTACATTTCAACAGTGTACATTTCCCATCACCAATGTCCCCAGTTACCCTCTTGTCTGCCACCCTCTCTCCCTCTCCCCCATTCTTTGGGCATTATGGTTTGCAATACAGGTACTGAAAGGTTATCATGCATATCCCTTTACCTCCTTTCAGCACTCAGTTCTTGTCCAGAGTGATCATTTCCAGCTACCACTGCCATAGTTGTCCCTTCTCTATCTTAACTGCCCTCTGTATCTCACATATTTGTGGCAAGCTTCCAACCGTGGGCTGATCCTCCTGGCCCTTTTCCTGTCCATGGATATTAGTCTCATATTATGTTAAACTAAGAAGCTTCTGCACCTCAAACTACATTAAACAAAGAAATGATGACCAAGATAGATAGCCCATGGAATGGGAAAGATTATCTACCCAATACCCATTTGATAAGGGATTAATATCAAAATATATAAGGCACTGGTAGAACTTTACAAGAAAAAGATATTCAACCCCATAATAAAATGGGGAGAAGAAATGAACAGAAACTGCCTCAAAGAAGAAATTCAAATATCCAATAGACATGGGAAAAATGCTCTACATCACTAAACATCAGGGAGATGCAAACCAAAACAAAACTTTGATTTGGTTTGCATCTCCCTGATGTTTAGTGATGTGTTTACACCACAGAGATTGGCACAAATAAAAAAAGGAAAAGAACAACCAGTGCTCGTTCAGATGCGGGAAAAAAGGGATTCTCATCCACTGTTAGGAATTCTGACTGGTCCAGCCATTTTGGAAAACAATATGGACATTCCTCAAAATGTAGAAACTGAGCTCTGATTTGACCCACAATACCAATTCTAGGAATATACCCGGGGGGGGGGGGCATAAAAACACACAGCAGAAAATCCATCTGCACTTCTATATTTACTGCAGCACTATTAACAAAAGCCAGGATTTGGTAATAATCCAGGTGCATAAGAAAAGACAAGTGCATAAAGAAACTAGGGTATGTCTATACAACGGAATACTAAGCAGCCACAAGGAAAAATGAAATCATGAAATTTGCTTATAAATGGATGGACATGGAGAGTATCATGCTGAGTGAAATGAGTAGGAAGGAGAGGAACAGACATAGAATGGCTGAACTCATTTGTGGGATATGACATAGACATTTGTGACATTTTTAAACCCTTAGACAAAGGCAAAATTTCAAAGATAATGGATTTTATATGCCAAATAACTATAGAAAAGATTCTATGTAGAAGAGTTACTGAAGATTAAACTTTGAGAACATAGGAGTTGTCAGACCTCAAATTTATGCAATGCAGCCACTTGTATTCTTGGTTTTGCCTTATTTGGGGGTTGTGGGTATCAAACCCAGGGCCTAGGGCTTCTTGTGTTTAAAATATGTGCTCTTGGAGAGTATCATGCTAAGTGAAATGAGTCAGAAAGAGAGGGACAAACATAGAAGGACTGCATTCATTTGTGGAATATAAAGTAACTTAATAGGAGACTAACACCAAAGGACAGTTGAAATAAGGGGCAGGAGGACTGTCCCACGGCTTGAAAGTCGATCTCATGTGCTGGGGAAAAAGGTAGTTGGGATGGAGAGATGTGCACTAAGTAAATGATGGTTGGGGAGATCACTCGGGATAGTAGATGCATGCTGAAAGTAGACTATGGACCAAACATGATGGCCACTTGATACCTGTATTGCAAACCATAACACCCAAAAGGACAGAGAGAGTAAGAGGTAATGTACCTGACACAGAGGCAGGGGGTGGGAAAGGTTGGGGGGAAGGGATACTGGAACATAGGTGGTGGAGAATGGGCACTGGTGGAGGGATGAGTACTTGAACATTGTTTGACTGAAACGCAATCATGAAAGTTTGTAAGTCTGTAAATGTATCTCATGGTGATTCATTAAAACAAAAATAAAGTATGTGCTCTATTACTAAGATTTATCTCCCACCCCTTTTGATACTTTTAAAAACAGAATATAACAGGAATTATACGCCATGGCTACCTGAATAATTAGTCTTCCTTCATAACTATTCTTTCTGATTTGAGGTCACACCAAGGGGTGGTTGAGGGACCATGTGGTATCAGAGATCAAACTCAGGGCTCCCCCACGCAAATCATGTGATCCAGCCTCAATACTCCCCCATGCAAAACATGCACTCCAGTCTTTTAAGCCATCTCCCCAGCCCCAGGATCAGGTATTGTTATTGATCCTACTTACCTTAATTTTATTCTCTTCCAACAAGTATGTGGCCATAGACTTTGCAATAGTTTCAAAGAAAAACCATGAGTACTAAAAGAAATAAATAAAAATCAATCTTTAATGGGGACCCCAATCTTTGAAGCTTACCAAATGTATATGGATGTTATCTCCTAGATTTTTCAGTGATCGCAACTCAACATCAAAAGTGCTATAAAACACTTTCAAAATGTCTTGGCACAAAGGTCATGCCATATACCTCAGAACTGACAGGTTGTTGAAAAGGATGTTTTGTGGGAATGTGAACCTCAGAGAGCAGTGGTAGTTTAGCACTGACATTTGCTCAACTGCCCACATGAGATGATAAGAGCATTTTTAAAATCATATTACTGCCTTTAAAATTCTCTCTGGACAATGAATGTCACTGCTGCCTGAATCTGATGTGGGATGCTGCAACCAGTCACTGAAGCATTATGGGGTGGATACAGGATGCAAATCCAGGTGTCCCTGATGATAATTCTCTATTAGATATTCCACTGAGGACAGGAGAGGGGAAGGGAGGTTGAAGAAAATGGAAGACTGTTCTATGGAGAACTGAAGGAAAAGACACATGGAGCTAGAGCTGAAATGGGAGGGCCTCAAGCCAGCATGTCTCTGGCTACTTTGGGGTCCTGCTGGGTCCTGCATAACCTTACCTTTAGGAGTTTGTTGATTGCTAAGAAGTCTGCTGACTGTTTCAATATTGCTATCATGGTAGTAGCCAGGGTTTCATGGATCAGCGCAGCCTGAGGAGGGCTTGGTTTTTCAGGATGGAAGCTATACTACAAACCAATCAGAAGTAAAAAGTGAAGTCACACAAAATCCTCCCATGAAATCCACTCTCCAGAAAGAAATTCTACTTCACAAACCTTTAAGAAGGATCTTAAATAATTATCCAAGCCTTCTTCGTGGCACTTTGACACAATATGCAAAAGAACCCTGAAACAATATTCACAGAAGACATGTCAGGCTAAGCAAGGATTATTATGCTTTGATTATCCAACAGGCTCATAATTATAGTCTGTCTCCAACACTGCCTGAATTAAAAACTGAGGGTGGCATTAGAAGGCATGAATGTTTGGGTCTAACAAAGATTTTGGTATCTAACATGTTCAGGACCTCGTAAAAAGAATCTCCCAGTGCAAAAACAGGAGATTTTCTGGAAGAAATCCAGATGTTTTATATCCCTTCTGAATCTCTAGATATATCTAAAAATGGTCATAGCTACAACATAGTAAAAGATCTGGGGAAAATGCTGATATTGAAATCCCCTCTAGTGAGAATAAAAGGAAAATAATCAAAGAGCAAATGAAAAGCATGTGAACAGATAGGGAAAAGGGAAGGCAGAGACAAGACAGGTCTAATGAAGAAATTTGGACTGGAAGGAAATGTAAATTTCATGACAGGTTTTAAAGTGGAGAGACGGCAGTGGTTTTCCAACTTCTGCTCACAGAAAAATCATCTAGAGAGCTGGCTGCTGGACCCTTCTCCCAGATCTTTTAGGTCTGGGTTGAAGTTCCACAACTAGCAGTTTCTTTTTGGCAGTGCCAGATTTCAAACCCAGGACCTCACACATGTAAGACAAGTGCTGTTGGGCTAAGTCACACCCTGAACCTCAATGATTAGCATTTCAGAGGACTTTGAGGTCACGCCCAGAAGTGCTCAAGGGCTACTCTTGGCTAGTGCTCAGGGGTCACTCCAGGCAGTGCAGTGATGGGGTGCTGGGTCACCTGCATGTAAGGTAAGCATTCAGTACCATTGCACTAACTCCTCGCCCCACTGATTAGTATTTTTGATGAGCTCTATGGTGGTATTAATGCTGCTGGTCTGGGGTCCACATTGTGAGAACTGCTAGATTTTAATAATACTTTGTAACTGTTAATCTCCCCAAAAACCGAGACAGCAAATGTGTGGTGCATGTCTCTTGGCCCCTGATAGGGAGAGGTTTCCACACCAACAGAAGCAGCGTAGTCAGAAACTAACAGCATGTAGTTCACACAATTTTCTGATGTCTGCTGCTTTGATTTCCAAATTCAGGCCTCTTTGTCAGCTATGCTACTATCTATCCTTGCTTTCTTATCAGAATAAAACTCAGTCAAAACATCTTAGTGCATGAGAAATCATCACTAACAGTACTGGGGGCACCGGAAACAGCACAGCAGGTAAGGTACATTTACACACAGTTGACCCAGGTTCAATCCCCTGAACATTTTGTGTCCCCCAAGACACACCAGGAGTGATCTCTGAGGCAAAGCCAGGAGTAAGGCCTAAGCACTGCCGGGTGTGGCCCCCAAACAAAAAACAGTACTGAAATTCAGAGAACCTCAATAAGTTTTTAAAATAAACACTTTTTAAAAAACCTGATGCTCAGGGCCATAACTATATTTATATTAAAATCAACTACAAATATATTTTAGTGCCAGGGCCAAAAGCTGAAGAACAGTTCAGCTCAATGGCTGGAGCTCATGCTCTACATGTGGGGAACCCAGGTTCAAGGTCCAGAACTACAGAGTTCCCCAGTACTGAATTGGGTGTCAGAGGTGAGAATCTCTGGGTGTGGTCACAAAACAAAACTTGAAAGAGACTGGGTTTCTCATTTGCACTAGCTGCATTCTGAATACTTCATAGGTAAAGATGGGTAAGGAATACCATATTGATTGGCACAAGTATAGAATATTCCCATCACTGCAGACTCTACTGGATAGCACTGGTCTAGGATAATGGCTGTCAAGCTACCCTACTTTATAAATACACAGAAAACTTTAAAATCATCACGCTGAGTTCCACCGTCAAAGATTTGGATGTAACCTCTATGAATTGTGGTCTTGGAAAAGACATTCTGGGGAGCTTCGGGCCATACCTAGTCATGTTGAGGGTTACTCATGATGGTGCTCAGGGACAATAAATGGTGCTGGCGACAGAACTAGAATTATCCACGTGCAAACAAGCACTCTACTACTGTAATATCTCTCTGGCCCTTAGAAAGCCATTTTCAAAGCTACCCAGGTAATTCTGACATGTAGCAATTTCTTAGAACCTCTTGTGGAGGAAAAGATGGTAAGTTTATCCTATGGCTTCTCGTGCCATCTAGCATTGGGGATACAAGTCTCCAGAGAATCATGAAACTAGAGAAAGCTGATTAATTAGATTTTTGATGACTAGATTCCCATTTGGAAGAGAAATTTCTATTTCAAACGAAGAAATGCAAAGGGAAACAAAAAGTTGCTTCTTTATAGTATAACACCGAAACTCACATGGTGCAGTTGATAGGAACATCATCTTCATGGGTCATATTTGTGAGAACTCGGAAGAGTTGCATAAGAATTACAGGAAGAAACTGTATCATGACTTGGATCTCCATGGCATGCAAACACTAAAATAAGTCAGTATTAGTTATGAAAACAAACAGAAATATGATATAATTTGCAAAGGTGAAACAACCAAAAAATCAAATAATGAGAAAAATCATCACTAAAACTATTTGTTCACTTAAAGGTGAGCTGCATTGTACAGGGGCCTTGCTTAAGAACTTCATTCGCATCTCTGAGCACCCTACTAGTTTCATATTAAATTCTGTGTTGACACTGGCCTCCATCTCAGGCTCCAAACAGGCATGAGGGGGGCCTTCAGAAAGCCCCAGGGCACGGTGGCCAGGGTCCACATTGGCCAGGTCATCATGTCCATCCGCACCAAACTGCAGAACAAGGAGCATGTGATTGAGGCTCTCCGCCAGGCCAAGTTCAAGTTTCCTAGTCGTCAGAAAATCCACATCTCCAAGAAGTGGGGTTTTACCAAGTTTAATGCGGATGAGTTTGAAGACATGGTAGCAGAGAAGCGACTCATCCCAGATGGTTGTGGCGTCAAATACATCCCCAACCGTGGGCCTCTGGACAAGTGGCGGGCACTGCACTCCTGAGAGCCTTGGAGCTGTGCCCTCCAGTCCCTGTTCCCCACCCCAGCACTCAAGCGCCCCATCCCACCCACCACAATAAAACCTGGTTCTTAATCAAAAAAAAAATTCTGTGTTGAAGTTAACAAAGCTTCTGGCATAAAGACAACTGACTTCTGGTAGACCAATGGTTAAGTGGTGTTTAGAAGTATGAGACTGGCCTTTTATTCCCCAGCACAGAGAAGGATCTGCAGGGGAATGGGGACCATCGATCTAAATGACCAAAGTTAAGTGGAGGTCAATAAAGCGTGCTTCTCTATATGATCAGTCTTTATACCAGCATGGTCTATACAACAAAATGGTTCTACATTCTAACATCCTCAATGAGACATTTCTTCAAAGTTCTAACACCCCATCTCTAGTTAGGGGTGTTAACATAAAAAAAGAAGTAATGTGCTCCTTTATAGACACAGGAATGATATGCATAGAAAAATGTCTTTCTATTTACTTTCCTTGTCTCTGCTTTCATCTCCATTCACTTACTCGTCTAACCAATGAGCCTACCAAAATAAAAAACAGCACTACTGACTACCTTCTCCATGAATTTAATATGTAATGTCATGGAAAATAGAAAAAAACAAGATTTGACAGTTTAGGAACTTAGTACTTACCTTTCAAAGATTCCCTTTTCCCCCGCACTCCCTAACTCCCCGTGGTGCCAGGGATTGATCCCAAGGTCACAACAAGTGAGGTATGTTGAGCCTGACCACTGAGCCACATACCCAGCACAACTGCCCTTACTTGAGCTCCATTTTCTCATCCTTACTTTTACCATCTCTTTTCAGGACTCCTCTCTACTTGAAACATAGCAATAGCAGCCCCAGAGTTCTGAGCATGTCTCTTTAATCAGCTAAATAAGAGACTGAGCTCAAGGAATGCAAGGTTAGTCTAGCCTTCAAGTTTCTCCATTCTTCAGTTATGTTCTCTTTTGTCCATACCATCACTCCCTCTTAGAATGACCTAACCTATAGCCAAAATGTTTGACACATTTCTACTAGGTCTCTGTACAGTTTCTCTTTCTCCCCACTTGCCCAGGTTTCATTTCCCAATTCATCTTCCTCTATTACTGGTCACATACCAGGCGACTCCCTGCCCAGATCCCGTGAGTGCCTCCCCATTATCCAAGGCTTCTCAGCCAGGGGTCACTTTGCTCCACACAGTACATTTATCCATGTCTAGAGATATCTCGGTTGTTGGTCCTACTGACATATAATTGGTTGAGGCCAGGGATGCTGCGAAATAACCTCTGTGGAAAGGTTAGGCCATAACAACAAAGAATGTTCTTGCCCCTCAAATGCCAATGGGCTTAGATTGAGAAACTCTGAGCTAGGACATTAAATCCAAGTGATTTAAGACTCTAACTACACTTTTAGCTGTAACACTCACCCATCTTCCCAAACTTAATGGAAAAGTCTTCACTGCTCCTTGACTATACCGCATACATTCAGGCCACTGTCATAGTTTAGGCAAATCCAGTCCTGCTTTCACATCAAGTTCAAAAGTCAATTTAAACAAAGCTAATAATTCGAATAATTCAGCCATTCAACAAAGGTGCATGGAAAGAACTTTCCAGTGCCAAGGACAACAACAAAAGACCAAAAGAAATCAACTATCACTCCTGTCACCCAGCACTTTCCTGTCTGGAAGAGGCAACAGAATACAATCACTGCAATACAAATGGCAACTAGTATGAACAGGATCTGCCATAAGCACAAACCAAGAGACAACTGAGTCTTCAAGTGAGCATGGTCTGGCAGCTCAGAGTTCAAAGGAGAAAGGTGAAAGGAATATGGAGAGGAAAGGCATTTCCCATACCAGTATTGCTTCTCATTTCTTCTAAACACAGCAGCAAGAATGTTCCTCTGGAAAGGCAAATTTGATCATGATATTTCCCTCTACCACATTAAAAAACAAACACGCCAGCAGAAGCACAAAGCTGTCAAGGGCTTTCCAGGCCTGGTGTATCCTGTTGCTTATGGCAATCTTCCACCCCACTCTACCATGCATGCTTTGTTTCTTTCCAGGTGTTCCAGCATGTCAGCCTGAGGTGCTGGTACTTGCTACTCTTTTAGCTCAGAGCCTTGGAGTCGGGGTGAAAGTCCTGTTGCCCTGGTCATCTGTGTCCAGGGCACGCTAGCTATTTTGAATTGAGAGAAATGAAGAGGAAGAAGTTCTCAAGAGAAGGATGTTTCTTGCCTAATCACTGATCTCCCTAAACACCAGAAATCCCTGGTGGTCTGGGAAGTGTGACGCAGTTACACAGCTTTCTCCCTCTGCACTAGGGCTTGTGAGATCAGTTTTGAATGCATCCTTAGGTAAATCCTGCTGAACCCCAATTTCTTTCCCTGGCCATGCTCGTTGCTCCATTCCCCCCTCCTAAATGGGCCACACCCCTTGTCAGCTCACTGGCATGAGCAGGGGAAAGGTTCCCTTATTCTATGGATATGGCTCCCTGACCATCTTCCTTCCTCTCATCTGTTTCTTTACAACTTGAAATGCCATCTCCACAGATATGTCTGCCCCAACAGTTCTATCTAGAATGTACTCCTAGTCATGCTAATCTTCTTAGCCTGTTCTATGTGCCTAGCAATACTCTTCTCTACCAAATGCTATTTAGTCATAATATCCCTACCCCAACCAGAGCAGGCATGTTGGCTGAAGTTTTCTTCATTATATTATCAGTACCCAACACCATCTCTGGCTCATAATAGGTTTTTAACAAAAATCTGGTGACTGGTGAAATAAATGAATGAACAAGGAACTAAGGGATAAGATACAAATGGAAGCCCCAATTATTAGGCTCACTAGACTTTTGGTACTTTGAACCTGCAACCTGAACTTGACATTTAATCCACCTTGGCTCTGGAATATCTCTCTAATGTTGACTATTGGTTTGATTTACATGTGTTCTATCTCTTAAGCTGGTTATAAGATATTAGCTGATAAATGACCCTCCATTATTATTTTATGAAAGCCCTACTGTCTAGAAAAATAATAAATGCATAATAAGAACTCAACAAAAGACATGAAACAAATTGGTAAACTGACATCATTTACAAGGTTAACAGACGGCAGGCTTTGGTAGAAAAAAAATAGGATTAGAGATCGAGAGAGATGTCCCAGGCTCATTTGAGCTCTGCTATTAACAACTGAATGATCTTAGACCAGTGTGCTCTCTTCAGGCTTCAGTTTCCTCATTTATGAAGAAAAATCTCTAGAATCCTTTTCAGCACAAAAGTTTGGTCATTGCTGTAACTAGCTGATATTTCACTTTCTGCCACTAGATGGCGAGCAGAGGTTGCAAAAATATCAGCATCCATCCATTTAAAGACACAAATATGAGTACTTCCTCCCACTCCCTTTTCAGGATACCAGCACATGGAAGTGTTCTGTTCCACTGAAGTCTGTTAAAGTATAGTTATACTTTATACAGTCTAGCCCACTGGAAGAAGTGGCCTAGAACATTAACAAAGCATTCACGTGCAGAGTTGGAGTTCTACACCCAACGCCAGGATAACGTTATCCAAGGGAAGATTTGAAAGGTAGAGGATTATTTTACTGTTTAATGATCATCAAGATCAACATATAGTCACCATGTATGACAATCTCTCTGCTTCTACCTTTCCAACAGCATACTAGCCATATGACAGACTGAAAGCTACTAACCAAAGGCATCACATGTTAGTCCGCTGTCCAAAGTCCTGCAAGGTTGCCCATCTGGCCCAGAGTCTAGTCCAAATCCATGGCATGGCCCACCAGGCCCTCCCCAGCCAGTACCATAGCTCCTTTTCCATGTAATGTCCTTTAGCTCCACAAACCAGCTACATGGGCGTCCCTGCTTCTTTTTGAACAAATCAAGTCAGTTCCTCAGGGTGTTTGGACTTGTTACCCCAGCACTCTTCATGAGGCCACAGAGCAAATACCCTCATTCCTGTTAAATCTCAGTCAAATGTCACTTTTCCAGCAAGTTCTCCTCTGTCCACTTGCATCTAAAAGAAAAATGTCCTTAAGCACAGCTGACTCCCTTCTGCCATGTTTTGATTTTTCTTAAAGCGCTTAACACCACCTGCCACAATACATATGCCATGATGTCACATCTACTAGGCAAATGTATTCAGTGTCCAACTGTCTCCACAAGAAAGTCATCTTCTTGACAACAGGGATAATGTATACTTCACTCTGGTCCTAGTGCTTATAAGGTTTGCTGGCCCCTAGGAAGCACTCAGAGAACAAGCATGAATGAATGACTCTGTCTCACTGCAACCACCCTACAAGATGTCCTGTATGACAAAGAAACAAAGGCTAGGCGAGATTAAGAAATGTGGCCAAGGTCAGTGACAGAGCTAGCATCACCCTCAACTAAGGTTAAGGCATGCATATCAATCCAAACGCGTAGGAAATACATGCAATCTCGGGTTTTTGAGACACTTGAGCAAATATGGTGTTTTTTAAGACACTCCTTGGCCCTATACAGAAACTAGATTTGGTTCTCTCTTTCACTGACCCTCCTGAGTCTAAGCCATGAACATGGACATTATTTCATCATTTATTCCAAACAAGCATGACTTCTTTTCTCCTTATCCATTTCCCCCCACCTCCAACCAAGTCCCCATCTTTACTGGCCACTTAGCAGGAAGAAAAAAACCTGAAAAATCCAGGTGTGAAAGTAAAATAAATCTCTGTTTCCATGTGGTTTTCTGAGTTCCACCACTGAACTTCAACCTGAGCATTTTCTGGCCAATGTAGCAACTTAACTATCTGCTTGGAAACAGCCATTTGCTTTAAAGGAACATAACAAAAAATGTTCTCTCAAGGATGCAGAGACTAAAAGTCAGTTTTCCCCCAGTCCTTTCACCACACCATCAAAATGTGGCAACGGAAATACATGAATAACAAACCTTTGGCAGAGTGCAGCTGTTCATTTACCTTTAAATATTTAATGAGCTCCCCCGGAACTTCCTTCGAGCCTGACTGAATCAGCTGGCAATGATGGAAGAATTTGTGCACGTGTAGATCCTGGAAAGCAGATGGGCATGGCCATGCGAAATTTGATTCATTACCTCAAATGCTGGCTCTCTCCCTTTCCCTCCTCCCACATCTTGCAAACCTATTTATCCGAATATTCTATTGCCCAGACCTGATAGCTGCAGCTCCCAATTTTGGCATGTACCATATGCCTTCTCAAAACCCAGCAGCAAAGAAACAGGTAAGGAAGGCAGCAAAATGATGTGAATTCAGCACCTAGCTAAACACACTGGGGAAATCACAACTTATGCCCAACCTGCCAAACATTCACGTGATTCCTGTTCAGACTAGAAGAGTATCTGGGGTTGGGCAACTTCTATACATTAATAAAACAAGCAGAAAGGGCATTCTGAGGTGACAGGTGAAGAAAAGGGGAGAAGCAGAGAAGCACCAGAACCAGTGGTTTTGTTGGTGGTGGTAGTGAGATTTTTTGTTCTGTTTTGGGGTCACACCTGGTAGTTGTCAGGGATCCATATGGGGTCAAACCTGGGTTAGCCATGCCCACTATACTCTCTTGTCCCAGAGCCAATGGTGTTTGGGGGTGGTGAGGGGTTGACAACTGTTCTAGGAACTGGTTCTGGTCAATAGAAACATCCTGTCAATCCCTGAAAAAATTACTTCTGTTTAACATACAATCTGCTTGGATCATACCAATAGCAGCTAACAGAGCCTCACTGAGCAAGCAGGGTTTTTCACCTATAAAATGGTGATACTAGCCTGCCCATTCCTTTCAGAGTTCTGGGGCGTTAGACTCAGAGAACAGAAATAAAATGGCTGTCATTTGAAAACAATTGTAAAATGTGAGCTATTATTGTGAGTGATATCATGACTGAAACAAGATAGTTCATTTTCACGAAGAAATATGTTCAAGCATTAATACTGACACAATTCAGATGGCGTAACTTACTTGAGTGTAAATGGTAGACTCCAAGTGGCTTTTAATCTTCAACAAAGGCTTTGCACCATCTACCCACTTAATATCCACATTAGGTTGCTGTGAACAGAGAAGACAGGCCTGAGTTTTTCTAAACTAAGCAGGGGCTAGATAATCAAACATCTGCCACTTTTCTGCTTCTCAACACTTGCTTTCAAGAAGAAAATGTCACTCTCCCAAAGGGAACCACTGGAGAAGAGAGCCTTTCTTTATTTTTTTAAACTTTTTTTATCGAATCACTGTTAGATAGGCCCTTACAAAGCTGTTCATGATTAGATTTCAGTCATACAGTATTTCAACACTCATCCAACATTCCAAAACTGGTGGAGGCACCAGTGTACCTTTCCCAGCACCAGTGAAGAGAACTCGTCTTTAGACTGAGCATACCTTAATAGTTTAGAAGTTCTCATTCCTTGTGGACTGATACTTTAAGAAATTATAATAAAAATGGGGTTGGGGAGATGGATCAAAGGGCTGGAAGCATAGGTTTTGAATTGCAGAATCCCTAGAGTCCATCTCTTGCACTGCAAATACCGTGCCCCGCCCCCCCCCCCGCCCCCCAGTAATGCTGGGAGAAATCCTGGAGCACTGAACTGGAAGCAGACCTGGAACACTATTATTGGCTGTAATCTGCTCCCACACACCCCCAAAATAAGCACCCTAAAAAATAAAAATAAAAACATATCAATGTAGGGCCAGAGAGATAGTAGAGGTGTGAAGTACTTGTCTTGCATGCATTTAACCCCGGTTCAATCACCAACACCACATGATCCCCAAAGCACAACCAAGTGCAAGCCCAGAGCCCAGGGTCTGGAGCAGCCCACAAGCCCTGCTTGGTGTCACCCAACCACCAAAAAAAAAAAAAAAGATGAATGATTTTTTATGGTGCACAAAATCCAAGCTCTGGGTTTGTGCAAGGGACAAGGATAGCCAAGCCCCAGTTTTTGAAACTGTTATTAGAATCAGTATACATGAGGTAACTTCATTAAACTGTTTTAAAAAGGTTCTTTAGAGTCAGGGAGATAGCTCAAAGGGTTTGTGTGCATGCTTTACTTGGGGGACCGACCCCCCAGGTTCAATTCCACCTCATGGGCCCCAAAGCACCCAATTGAGAGTGGCCCCTGAACACCAACAGGTGTGGCCCACAACACAAAAACCCAAAAAAAGAAAAGAAAATGGGTTTCTAACAAGGTTTCCACCCCCCATACTCATCTCAGTTATGGTCCTGCACACCAGGCCTCAGTTTCCGCAAACCAAAGGAATCGGCTTTCAACAATCCATCATAATAACTTCAGCAAATTCAAGTTTCTTCCTACCCTTCTCGACTCAGCATCATTCAGATTCAAGTAGCCCGGTGGGAGATTGGCTGACACTGGCAGTTGCTGCTCAAACGTGATGATTCGACCATCCTTCAGCAAAGGAATCCAGGCGAACCCAACTGCCAAGACAAGAATCGACCAAGAGAAATGAGTGCACATGTGCCATTAGCTACATCAATGTGTTCATTCTGGGGTCTGTGTGTGAGGGGTTTGGTGTTAGACATCTGAGTACTGGGAATGAGTTTGGCTTGTCTCCTAAGCCCAGTCTGGCCACAAACAGGTGACAGCCTTTAGTTCCTTGACTACCCAAATGGAAATAACAACACACAGTCTTTCCATCTAACAGAGTTATTATTGAAAGACCAAGATGAGATGATTGTTGAAATCACACTTTCAGAGGGGAAAGGTTTGGGTCACAACTGGCAGTGCAAGATGACTATTTCCAGGCTTTGTTCAAGAGTGGCCACTGACGGTGCTCAGAGGACCACATGCAGTGTCAGGGATCAAACTGGAGTTAGGTGTAGTACAGCCTTGCCTCCTGTACTACAGCCCTATAAAATCACTTTAAAACCTTTCAAGTGCACCATATCATTATTGTCACACTTAGGAGAGTAATGTTTTGGTGCTTGTTATAAAAGAAGTTCATCCTTATACTCCTAGTGTCAAGTCTTCTGTCTTTACCTTAGACAGTGATTAGCATATTCTAATTTCCTTGTAGCAACCTGAGGTGTTATGAGAAGATAGAAAATCAAGGAGGTCACAAGACAAGATTGCATTCCCTGTTTGTACAAAACAGTAAATCATGGAGTGGGTCAGTTGTCCTAATTGCAAAAAGAAGAGGTGTAGAAGGAAAAGGCAGCCAGGGCCTTTTGTTTACAACTGAAACCCACTGAGACATTTCCCTCAGTTTCGGTATTTCTTGAAACTTCTCCCCTGAAAAGTCTTTTGGCTTTCTTTTAGCAAGCTCATCATATTCTCGGTAAAGAAGCCAGAACCATCTGTGTTGCTCAAGTTGAGTGGTGTCAGTATTTCCATGAGAGATATTATCCTGGGTTCAAGTGTTTTATAACTCAGCTGTAAAAAAAAATTGCTCTGGACTGAGTTTTGGCACTGAGAGAGGGCAGCTGGCTAGAAAGCACCTTTTAAAGTCACTGCTTTCTAATATATTAAAATTCTGTGTGTGAGAGAGAGTGAGAAAGATAGTATATGTGTATGCACATATGTATACTGCAAATCCCAAAATCAACAATCTGATTACAATGTTTTATTTGTGTTTAATTTGGCAAATGCTATAATTCCTGTTTGTTTGGGTGCTGGGGATCATATCCAGGGTCTCACACATGGTAAGCATGTGTTCTACCATCAAGTTGCCTCCCTGTTGAATTTTTCCCCTTCATTTTCTTTTTAAAAAATGTTTTTGTATATTATTTACATAATATGGTTTACATACTATCAATCCTATGCTTTTGGTGTACAGGACTACTGCACAATACCTGCCACCAAAGTGTCAGTATTCTTCTATCACTTTCCCTAGGTCCCTGTTAGTCCACCCCATCTCCACTACTGCCCCTTGTTAACCTTTAGTTTTGCCGTCTGAGTTTTGTTTCCATTGGACACTGACTATTCCCTCTGCTTTGTTTCTCTATAGCCCACATATGAGATTATCCAGCATTTGTCCTTTCCCATCTTATTTCACTCAACCTAACTTTCTCTAGTTCTATCCACATTGTTGTAAAAGGAAGGAATTCATCCGTTCTTGCAGCTATATTTATACAGTGAAATACTCTCTATATGTGCATATATACTACTATTTATTTATATACACACCACAACCTTTTCATCAACTCACAGCACAGCGGCAGGGCATTTGCCTTGCACGCAGCCAACATGGCCCACCCGAGTTCGATTCCTCCGCCCCTCTCGGAGAGCCCGGCAAGCTACTGAGCGTATCTCGCCCGCACGGCAGAGCCTGGCAAGCTACCCGTGATGTATTTGATATGCTAAACACAGTAACAACAAAGTCTCCAATGGAGACGTTACTGGGTCTGCTCGAACAAATTGATGAACAACGGGAGGACAGTGACAGTGACCTGTCATTGGGCAACTGAATAGTTTCTGGGTCTTGGATATTATAAATGCTGCGATAAACATAGATGTACAAGTATAATTTCCAATTAATATTTTTATATTGGGGAAAGAAGTGGAACTGCTAGAAGTTCTATTATTGCTTTAATGAAAAATCCCCCATCCTGTTTTCCATAGGAGCTGAGTCAAAGACACACCCACCAAACAGTAAAAGGAATGAATATGTTGCTTTTCCTAAGTCTAAATGGCTTTCTCAGACTCTAAAACACCCCTGAAGGGCATCTTTATTAACACAACTTCAGAAATCATTTAGACAATGCTCTCCTTCCATAAAAAAGCAGAGACAAGTAACATGAGCAGAGAAACTCCTTGAAAGGATTCTGCCAAAGTAGTTGAACTGAAAATGAGAGAAATATTCAGAAGTTTTCAGCCCAGAAAAATAAAAAAATGAAAGGAAAATATATTTATATTTCTAGTGTTTAGGTAACAATTTTGCCTCATATATATGTATTGAGATATAACTCAGATACCATACAAGCCTCGAGCTGGAGCGATAGTAAGGGCTGGAGCGATAGTACAGCGGGTAGGGCATCTGCCTTGCACGCAGCCAACATGGCCGACCCGAGTTCGATTCCTCTGCCCCTCTCGGAGAGCCCGGCAAGCTGCCGAGAGTATTCCATATGCCAGACACAGTAACAACAAAGTCTCCAATGGAGACGTTACTGGGCCCGCTCGAGCAAATCGATGATCAACGGGAGGGCCTTTACTTTACTTTTACCATACAAGCCATCTATTTAAAGCACACAATTAAATCACTGTTGTTTGACTCACAAAGCTATATATCATTTGCTACTCATACAGGACTCTTATCACACCAAAAAGAAATTTCGTACCCCTCAGAAATCACTGTTTCCCTCTTCCCTCACTCTCCAGCAAACACTTATCGACTTTGCCTCTATGTAAGATTATTGCACTGGAATATTATTGCACTGGATTTGCTTAAGCAAGATTATTGCACTGGAAATTTATCAGATCACAGTCAAGGTGGCCCTCAGTCCAAACTCTCAGAGAGTCCTTGGTCTAAGTTTCAGAGATGAAGGTAGGTGGGGGGTTTAGGGTGGTGCTCAGGGACTCATGTCATACTAGACAGAACTAGAGTCAGCCACATGGAAGGCAAAGAATTTAACCTATGTACTATCTCTTGGAGGCTGGAGCGATAGCACAGTGGTAGGGCATTTGCCTTGTGTGCAGCCAGCCCAGCTGAGCCTGGTTCGATTCCTCCACCCCTATCGGAGAGCCCGGCAAGCTACTGAGAGTATCTCGTCCGCATGACAAAGCCTGGCAAGCTACCTGTGACGTATTCGATATGCCAAACACAGTAACAACAAGTCTCAAAATGCAAATGGTACTGGGCCCGCTCGAGCAAATCAATGAAAAATGGGAGGACAGTGCCAGTGACTATCTCTTGGGCCCATTTAGAAGCCAATATAAGTTCATGCTATCTGGCTCAATGGTAAGAAGCCTCTTAAAGAATCAGCATTTCAAGAAATGATTGTGCTTCCACAACCAGAAGTCTTTCAGGTTCCCCTTGAGCAACTGTCCACTTCTGCCTGGGGCAGATAATATAGAAAGAGGCCTCTGAGCTTCAGGAAGTGTTTGGTCATGGGTTCTCAGGGTTCTGTCAGATTTCACCTCTACCCTCCAGAACCCTCCTCTGAACCAAGTAAAATGCCAGTGGGATTTGGAACAGAACTGCTCTCCCCAAAGAAGGAATTGCTAGTATATGGTTCCTCTGCCTACCAGGCATCACAATAGCCAAAATCTGGAGATTTTGGCTATTGTGAACAGTGCTGCAATGAACATATAGGTACAGATGTCATTTCTACTGTGCTTTTTTGCATCCTCGGGATATATTCCCAGAAGTGGTAATGCAGGGTCATAGAGAAGCTCAATTTCTAGTTTTTGAAGGACTGTCCATATTGTTTCCAGAAAGGCTGGACTAGTGGGCATTCCGACCAACAGTGAAAGAGTATCCCTTTTTCCCCACATCCACTCCAGCACTGGTTGGTTGCTTTTGTTCTTTTGAATGTGTGCCAGTCTCTGTGCATTGCAGCACTGTTCACTATAGGCAAAATCTGGAAACAACCCAAGTGCCCTAGAACAGATGACTGGTTAAAGAAACTTTGGTACATCTACACAGTGGAATACTATGCAGCTGTCAGGAGAGACGAAGTCATGAACTTTGCTTATAAATGGATAGACATGGAGAGTATCATGCTAAGTGAGATGAATCAGAAAGAGAGGGACAGACATAGAAGGACTGCATTCATTTGTAGAGTATAAAACAACATAACATGAGGCTGATACCTAAGGACAGTAGATACACGGGACAGATAGATTGCGTCATAGCTGGAAGCCTGCCTCATGAGCAAAGGGGACAAGGCAGCTGGAATAGAGAAGGGATCACTAAGAAAAAGATGGCTGGAGGACTCGGTTGGGACGGGAGATGTGTGCAGAAAGTAGATAAAGGACCAAACATGAAAACTTATCAGGGTCTGTATTGTAAACCATAATGCCCAAAAGTAAAGAGAGATTATGAGGAATCATGTCTGCCATGGAGGCAGAGGGAGGGTGGGAAATGGGGGGTATACCGGGGATATTGGTGGTGGGGAATGTGCACTGGTGGAGGGATGGATGTTTGATCATTGTGTGATTGTAACCCAAAATGAAAGCTTATAACTATCCCATGGTGATTCAATAGACTTAAAAAAAATCTCTCCAGCATTTCCAATGCACCATCCACCTCAAATGACCCCTCACCTCCCTTGACATTCTGCCACTTGGCAATACCTGCTGTACAGTTTTGAAATATCAGTGCTAAGTTGGATTCATCTCTCCAAGAATCAGTCCTTTGCCAATATACTCTTTTGCATTTCCCATTTTCTCTGTCCCCCTACTATGCCCATGCAGTGACCTTAACTTTCATAGACCTTGGAAATAAGCTGGAATTTCCTCCTTCCTTCTTTCCTTTTTCCTGATCTAATTCACCTCACTCGCCAGACTGTTGCCTAAATGTATTTCCTGAAAAACACCTCTTACTGTTTAGAATCATCAGTATTTTCACAATGGGCAAGCATACACTCAATCCCAAAGCCTGCCATTGAAAGTTTCCACAACTCTAGCACCATTTCACCTGAAATGCTATGGGTTCCCCCATCCTTGTTCCTCTAAAACTACTGGTAAGTCCCTTGCCATACCTCTAAAGCTCATCTCTCTACAGACCCACCTCTATCCCAGACTCCTCAACCTTTTTCCACCATTGTATCATCACAAACTATCCTGCCCTTCTCGGTCAGGGATACAGTGCGGGTAGAGGAACTAGCATATGCCTAGCATATGTTAGACCATAAACTCAACTCCTAACACTGCATGATCCACTGAATGCAGAGGTGTAACCCCAGATGCCCCCAAACACAGTTGGGGCCAAACACTGTCAGGAGTGATGCCAATAAAAAAATCTAGGTCTCATCAAAACATTAGCTTCTAGAAGTTTTTGCTGATTCTCAGTGATCTGTCCCCTCACCATCTGAAGGATTAACTCTCTAGGTAACTCCAACTTTCTATCTTGTATCAAAATCATTGGCTTAGGCCTGATTTCTACTAATAGGTTACATGCTTACTTCACATGAGCTTTTTGTGCATCTCCAACAATTGTTTCTATAGTTCCCATTACACGTCTCTTGCACATAACAGATATAAAATATTTGAACAAATGAAGAGAGGTTTTATCTAAGCTAGATTGGATGAGAATCCCAGGGTATGTTCACATCTCTCATAGTGTGGGTGTAATGCAAGACCATATTCCATGTTCTTATGCAAGGACACTTTCCACTGTTGACCTTATATAGTCTTGCTTAATGTGACCAAGACAAGGGTGTCACTATTAAAGCTCATTGTAGTTTGCTCTATCTGTTCTCATCTCTGACATATAAAGTAAAACAAATGGCCCGCATGTTCCTTCAGGCTCAAAAATGTCCCCAAACTCCAGGTTCATTGCCCTTGCCCTCCAGAAGCAGAACGTGAAGGTCCTGATTGCTGGGCCAGAGATAAGGGAAAGCACACAAGTTCTGAGCAGCACTATGAGAAGAGAAATATTATTGTATGTTGTTTACCACAGCCAAAGCACACTGGCAAGCACTTGAAGATAACATTTGGTAGAAATGACAAAAGGAATATTTCATTTCTCTTTCCCGGGGCAGATTTTAACTAGAAATATACTTTTCTGGTGAGGGGAAACATGGATTCAGAGTTAGATGAAAAGAAGTTAGATCCTATCAATTCCAACTACTGGAGAAAGGTACTTCAAGAGTTCACATACCTGGAGTTTCAACTGTGTCTTGCTTTTTGGTACTCCCCTTTGTGTTAATTTCACAGCTTACGTGGTAAAAAGTGAAAAGCAAGTGATGTTTCTGATGCAGGTGAATAGGAAGTTCAATTTTAATCTGGAACGAGAACAGAATCACACATTGAATTTTATTTCCATTGTCGATCTGGGTGGTTGGACACTTTGTTCAGATCTGTCATTCTTTCCCAATGACGCAATTTTTTACATGGTAGGCCAAGTATTCAAATAATATCATTTAGCAATCTATCTTCCAAATGTTTTTCTGGTCAGGTTCAGGCTGACAACAATATTCTCCTGAGCTGGGAGGGACGATAGATGACTTGTGCTGGACAGTACAGTGATTTCTCCTAATTTTTGCACCATTTTGCTCTGAAGCAGAATTGTCTAAAACACTGTAACACAACATGGCTTCACAGTGCAGGGATACTTGGTAACTTAACCTAAGTCAGGAAATGAAATCTGTCTAGATAAACTGTGCTGTTATTATCTAAGTTTTGAGTTTTCATATTTGAAAAAATAATTCTTTCTAAATTGAAACAGTAATTAAGAATCCCCCCAATAACAAGAGTCCCAGTTCAGTTGGGTTCACTGGTGAGCTCCATCAAACCTTCAAAGAAAATACTGCATATCTCCTTAAGCTCTTCCAAAATATCAAAGACATAGCAATTCTTCCTAAACCCTTCTATGAAGCAAACATTACATTAATAGCCAAAGCAGACAGAGATACTTCCAGAAAAGAAATTTTCAGACTAATTTCCCTAATGAATCTCTATGCAAAAATCCTTAACAAAATCTTAACTAACCGAATCCAATAACACATCACAAAAAATCATACCCCCTGATCAAGAGGGAATCATCCCCAGGATGTAAGGATGCTTCAACCTACAATATACACAAATCAATTAACATACTATGCCACATTAATAAAAGGAAAGATAAAACTCATCTGATCATATCAACTGATTCAGAAAAAGCCTTTGACAAGATACAACATCCATTCATGATAAAAATCCTTAACAAAATAGGGATGGAACGAACCTTCCCCAAGAAAATAATGGCCATCTATAACAAGCCTACAACCAGTATCATACTTGATGGTTAGAAGACTGAAAGAATTTCCTCTGAGATCAGGTATAAGACAAGGATGTCTACATTCTCTATTTATATTCAACATAGTATAAGAACTCCTGGCTACAGCAATCAGGCAACAACAACAGAAAAAGTCAAAGGGATCCAAATTGAAAAGAAGACCTCAAACCAACACTATTTGTATATGATGTGATAATATACACAGAAGACCCTAAAGAGCCAACAAAAAAAGCTCCTAGAAACAATAAAACAATACAGCAAATTGGTGGCTACAAAGTCAATAGCCAAAAATCAGTCGCATTCTTACATACAAGGAATGAAGCAGAGGAGAAAGCAATCAAGGAATCTACCCATTTAAATTAGTAGACAAAAGCATCAAATTTCTAGAAGATATTTAACAAAAGACATGGGAGAGTTATACTATGATATTTTTAACTCACTTAAGAAAGAGAGAGGGGGAGACTCACAAATGACTCTTGGATCCTAGCAGCTCACTGCAGGGAAGGCTCCAGACCCCAATTATTTTAATTTTTAAGATCCCAGGATAGGCACTCATACTTTTTTTATTTTGCTTTTTTCTTGAATTACTGTGAGATAGACCCTTACAGACATTTTATACTATTCCTAACAAGCAATACAGAATAAATTTTCTAGCATCTGCCTGTGGGTCAGGCTTTAGTGGTGGTAGGAAACTTCAAAATAATTGTGGTGACCACTGGCCAAGCAAGTGAAAACAGAGATAGACAAATGGGACTATTTTAAACTAAGAAGCGTCTGCACTTCAAAGGAAACAGTGACCAAAATACAAAGACAGTCTACAGAATGGGAAAGGATATTTACCCAATACACATCCAACAAGGGGTTGATATCAAGGATATACAAAGTACTGGTTGAACTCCACAAGAGGAAAACATCCAACCCCATCAAAAATGGGGTGACGAAATGAACAGAAACTTTCTCAAAGAAGAAATCTGAATGGCAAAAAGGCACATGAGAAAATGCTCTACGCCATTAATCATCAGGGAGATGCAGATCAAAACAATGAGATATCATCTCATACTACAGAGACTGGCCCACATCCAAAGAACAAAAGCAACTGGTGTTGGCGCAGATGTGGCGACAAAGGGACCCTCCTTCACTGCTGGTGGGAATGCCGAATGGTTCAACCCTTTTGGAAAACGGTATGGATGATTCTCAAAAAATTAGAAATTGAGCTCATGGAAAGTATCATGCTAAGTGAAATGAGTCAGAAAGTGAGAAACAGACATAGAAAGGATTGCATTCATCTGGGGAACATAAAGTAACAAAATAGGAGACTAACACCCAAGAATAGTCGAGATAAGTACCAGGAGGTTTACTCCATGGCTTGGAGGCCAACCACACACACTAGGGGAAAAGACAGCTCAAATAGAGAAGGGAGCACCAAATAAAGGGTGTTGGGAGGATCTGCCCAGGATAGGAGGTGCATGCTGAAAGTATACTATAGACCGAACAGGATTGCCGCTCAATTCCTCTTTTGCAAACCACATCACCCAAAAGGAGAGAGAGAACAAAAGGGAATGTTCTGCCACAGAGGCAGATTGGGATCGGGGGAATGGGGGGTGGGAGGGATACTGGGATTAGTGGTGGTGGAGAACAGGCACTGGTGGAGGAATGGGTACTAGATCATTGTATAACTGAAACCCAAGCACAAAAATTTGTAAGTCTACAACTGTACCTCATGGTGTTTCACTAACAAAAATTTTTAAAATTAATGGTTATGAGAAGGCATAATAGTGATGGCATTAGTGTTAAAATATTGAATGTAATCAATTATTGTGAACAACTTTATGAAAATAAAATTTAAAAAAATAAAAAGAAAGAGATAGAGGAAGACCTTAGGAAGTGGAAAAATATCCCATTGTCATGGATTGGAAGAATCAATATTATTAAAATGACTATTCTACCTAAGCTATTATAATATTCAACACAATCCCAATTCAAATTCAGATGACATCCATCCAAGGTCTAGAAAATGAATAATAAAATTTGTATGGTATCAGAAAAGACCACAAATAGCCAGCAACATACTAAATAAGAAATTGGGAGGTATTTCATTACCTAATTTGGAACTGTATTACAAAGTTATTGTGATCAAAATTGCATGGCACCGGAAAAAGACAGACCATGTAATCAATGGATCAGCATCAAATACCCTATGACAAAGCCCCATATATATGGACAGTTAATTTTTAATAAAGGAGCTGAGAACATGAAATGGAGTAAAGACAGTCTCTTCAACAAATGGTGCTGGGAAAACTGGATAACTACATGTAAGAAACAGAAGGTGGATCCATATCTTACATTTCACACAAAAACCAATTCAAAGTGGATGAAAGCCCTTGAAATCTGACCAGAAACTATAAAATACACTGACGAAAATATAGGCAGAACACTTCAAGATTTGGACCTCAAAGGTGCCTTCAGTGATCTGATACCACTGAAAAAGGGAACAAAATAAAAAATAAACAAATGGGACTACATAGGTTAAATAACTTCTACATGGAAAAAAAACATAAGCTAAAACTAAAAGACAGCTAACTGAATGAGAAGAAATATTTGCAGTAATCAGATAAAGGTTTGATATTCAGGATATATAAAATACTCATAAAGATGAACAAAAAGAAATTCTTGAACCCTATCAACAAATGGGAAGAGGAAATGAATAGATAGTTCTCAGAGAAAGACAAGTGGATGGCCAGTAGGCATATAAAAAAATGCTCAGCATCATTCATCAGCAGAAAAATCCAAATCAAGACAACAATGAGATACCACCTCATGCCAGCGAGAAAGGCTCATATCAACAATAGTAAAAGGTAATCTGTGTTGGTGGGAATGTGGTGAAAAAGGGCCTCTCATCCACAACCCCTGTGGAAAGCAGTATGGAGAGTTCTAGGTAAAATTAGAACTGAACTGCCATATGATCCAACAATTCCACTTTGGGGCATTTATGCTCAGGACATAAAAATATTCTCTTAAAAGGACATATGCACACCATTATTCATGTCGCACTCAGCACAATAGTCAAGGTGTCCAATGACAGATGAATGGATTATGAATATGTGGTATATATACAAAATGGATAACTATGCAGTTGCAAGGAATGATGAAACCATGCAGTTTGCTGCAACATGGTAGGAGCTGGATGATATGTTAAGTAAGCAAACAAAAGATGATCTCACTTATCTGTGAAATATAGAATACTATATGAGAAAATGTATTGTAGTAAAGGGGGGATGTTTAGATCAATCTTGATCCCCATGTTTAGGGCGGAGACAGAAGAAAAGAAATCAAGGGGGAAGAAAATAACAAGTAGTAATGGATTAACAGGCTTTAGTTATACCAGTGATATGAGTAAGGGATATAGCTAGATACCCAAAACACTGATTCAACAGATATCATGAATACATGAGATCTAAGTGGCAACCACTGAAACTCTGTAATGTGTTTTTCAAGTTGACAGGTGGGGGTAGAGTGGGGGTTGGGATGGGGAGGGAATTTGGGAATGCTGCTGGAGCAAAGTTGATACTGTTGAAGGGATGCTTTACTGTATACCTAAAGTGCAACTATCAGTACTTCTGTAACTCATGGCTCTTTAGTAATTTTTTAAAGAAACCAATGCTTTCTAAAGTAATGCAACAATCACTACAGTATGGAATCCACAAACTACTGTTTCTGTGGATTTACTTAGAAAAATCCAAAACGCCCTCTATAATAAAGAAAATACTGTTACCCATGACCATAAAGTTCATCTTAAATCTAAGGCCTTAATCTAGGCTTCTCAATTCAGTTTCTAAGCAGAGCCCAACTGAATACTATACCTCCTCAGACTATGTGAGAGGCAAATACAGAATTTGCCTCCTTGAAGGATATAAGACAAAGAACGGATAAAACTGATATAACATACACAGACACACCTGCACAGGAGCACACAGGTGCACACCTCTATATATAGTACCTGTTTGATATACATACTGTCCTGTATGTAGTCATATTTATAATAAATTATCCTTCACATAATAGAGATTTATAATAAATAGCAGATGTTGGAAAAAACTTTCTGGTACTCTAATATGGACTATTTAGTATGGTCACAGTTTTTGGAGTGGTTGGCATTAGTGAGAGAGAGGGAATAGTAACCAACTTAGTGACAGACATCTGGTTGAATTATTTTTCCGTACCAGGCCTGGTTGTGGTGTTAGAAGATTTTTGTTGTAGGTATATTTCACCACAGAACACCATGCCTACTCACAGCATCTAGACCATCTGGATTTGTAATACACTGCTGCACAGAAACATGGGCAGACTACCCTCTTCCTGGAAGGCCAAAGGCTAAGGTACCATTACCTTCCTCCAGTTCACTGGGAAAGCAGGAAATAAGGACTGAAAAGGAATGAGCAAGGTCTTGAGGCTAGGGTATAAAGCCTCTATCAACCACTAGGTGGGCAACAGGACAGCAACAGTTTTGTCTTAGCCAAATCCAGCCATAAGGACATCAGGCCTGAAAAGCCAAAACAGAAGATCTTCTGGCTGGGGAGTGCAACAGGTTCCAAGGGGACATGGGGCATCAAATGCAAAGGGCAATTTTGGAAAGTCAGATATAGGGGACTACAAGAGGCTGGTTTTTGTTTTTGCTTTTTGGGTCACACCCAGCAATATTCAGGGGTTACTCCTGGCTCTGTGCTCAGTAATTACTACTGGCAGTGCTTGGGGGACCATACGGGATGCCAAGGATTGAACCCGGATCAGTTACACACAAGGCAAATGCCCTACCCATGTACTATTGCTCTGGCTCCTACAAGAGACTATTTCAGAGGCACAGAGCCATGCTGGGAAGGATGTAGATGCAGAGACAGAGATAAATGGGTGAGATACAGACTTGAGTGAGAAAGGCAGCCTGATGCTGGAGCACAGACTGTCCTCTCTTGGCAGAGAGGCCTATGGTGCTGGGGACATGGGAGTACTTCCATGTTCTTCAAAGCAATTCACTTACTTTGTTATTGGCTGTGCTCTTCATGTGGACCAACAGGAGGAAAAAGCTAGGAGGACCTGCTGAAAATCTCCCCCTGGATTCCAGTGTTTGAAGGAGACTCAGTGAGGGAAAGTGACTTACTCAAGGTCACAGAGCCAGTTGTGAGGCAAGCCAAGACACTAGGTCTAGTCTGAGTGTTTGCTCTTTCTGTGGTTATCGCACACCACAGCCCCTTCACATGGTCATCAAGGGGCACCAAGCAGGCAGTGGCCCTTGAGAGGAAGGTGACATGCTGTGTTTTCATGAACCAAACATTCAGAGATTGAGCGTGCTGATAAAACGTTGAAAATGACACAAAACAAGAGATAAAACAGCGATCAATGCATGTGATAAACAGAATAACAGGCTTTTACCTCATCATAAAACTCTGGATTCTGGTTGTGATGTGAGACAATAGCATAAGCGTTTGTGGTGAACACGGGCCCTGCAGGTTTCCCATAAATACACTGCAAGGAAAAAAAGGAAACAGAGTCACACTCTTGGTATAAGTCATTTTTCGCTCCCCAAGGTGCCAGGGATGAAAGCTGGGACCTCACACAGGCAATGCCAACTGTGGTCCCACTGAGTCACAGTGCAGGCCCCTGCTGAAGGTCTCTATACATGATGCAACAGAATCCCATACAGCTAGAGGCATCTGTGAGCACAGACGCCTGGCTAAGCTCAATCAGCTCTCACCAGGAGCCTGTCACTTCCCAAACATTTCTAGCCACTCCAGACACCAGCCCAACCAGGGTCTAACTTGGCTGCACAGATGCTTTTGAATTTCCTGCCATCAAATAAATCCAATTCCCAAGTAGTTGGCAGCAAGAAGCCAAACCCATGGAATCATTCCTAAGAGAGGCACCTCCTTGGTCCGTCAGTAGCCTCTGCTGTAAGCTCTGTTTGGGCAGTGGACAAGAAGGGTTCAAAAAAAATAAACAGCAAATGCATTCCTAGCCTAAAGGAATTCAAATTTAAATGGGAAGTTAGCTTCAGATAAGCTGACTGTTCATCTCACTATATAAGGTCCATTTTCCAAGTCAATGGCTTTCTGGGAGAGCAGAAAGAAATAGGAAGTTGGTTCCATGGAAAGAGTTGATTTCATTGCTCAGGCGAGTTTTTCACTTCCACTAGCAAAAGTGACTCGGGAATGAGTTATGGACGCAATATGCCAAGTTGAGCATCTCACTGTTATTTCCGAGCCAGCCTTGAGGGAAGTTCAGCCATGAAACTGAGATTCTGTGAGAAGGCACAGCCAACTCTCTTTAAACATGGCTATGAAGGCAATTTGCAGGAACTGCTGAGGGGTAACCGAAGAATTTTTAAATATACAAACGGACTGGCAAGGAGGGAAAGGAACAGTTATTTTCATCTCCACTAAGGGGAGAACCATAGATAACAGACCTCACTTGAGCAAGCTAATCCTTTATTTTCTGTTTTTAAAATTTTGTCACCCTGGAATTACAAAATTATTCATATTGGGTTTCAGGTATATAATGTACAACACCAATCCCTTCACCAGTATCCACTTCCCGCCACCAATGTACCCCCACTCACATCCCATTTGCCTCCCATCACCAGTCTGCTTCTACAAGAGGTCATTTAAGTGTGTGTGTGTGTGTGTGTGTGTGTGTGTGTGTGTACATTATTGTTGCTGAGAAATAAAATTGGAAAAAAGGAAATGGAAATATATCCCCTGCTCATGGATTTGGAGGATTAATATCATCAAAATGTCAATATTCTCCCTAAAGCATTGTATAGATTCAATGCAGTCCATATTAAGATACCCATGACATTTTTCAGAGAAATAAATCAAACACTCCTTTTTCTCTGTAGGGGAAAAAAGACTTGTTTCCAAGGCATGTGACTATAAAACCTTCAATAATTAGTTGAGGAGGGCAGGGCAGGGCAGGGCAGGGCATTCCTCTAGGTGTCTGCAGGGGAAGACCAGTCACTTGGTGCTGAGCTATTCTGACTTCCCTTTCAAGTCTTCAGATTAATGGGCTCAGGAGCCAAAAAAGGAAAAACCAGAGAGGCAGTGAGCAGAAACAAGTACAGAAGGATGGCTGGCTCAGAGAAATTCTGAGAGCCCACTGTTCAGACCTCTCTTAGCCAAGTGTTGAGGCTCCCATTGGGCCCTCAGAGAAGCAGCTCAGATTAAAGCAGATGGTACACAGTATGCTCAGGTTGCAAGGAGAAAGGGGCATTTATGGTCCAAGGTGGTCCCCTTGAGAAAGTCAAGTCATGAGAGAAAATGTCTTGGAGACTGGTGTTAGAGTGCCAAAAAAATCAAAGCAGAGCCAAGGCAAAATATTTACTATATAGAGCTCTGCTATTGGGGGCCAGAAAGATAATTACAGGGGTAGGTTTAAGTGCCTGTCCTGCTTGCAGCTGACCCTAGTTCCATCCCTGGCACCTCATATGGTTCCCTTGAGCACTGTCAGGGGTCACTTCTGAGCAAAAAAGGCAGGAATAGCCCCAAAGTTCCACTGCATGTGGCCCCCAAATCCAAATAAATATATAATGTTCACCCATTTTGATATTTTTATCTTTTCACAGAGGCCATTCCAGTGGATGCTCAAGGGCCCGCAAGGCTCTAGCTGGTGGTACTTAGAAGGAAGCAGATAATGCTTGGGGAACTGAAATCAGGGCTTCACACATTGCAAGGCACATGCCCCAGTCCCTTGAGCTAGTATTGCCCCAGTACTATCAAACTTTTATTTATATAGATTTTGTGGGGGGGGAGGGTCACACCCAGCTGTGTTCAGGACTAATTCCTGAAAACGCTCAAAGGACCCTATGTGGTTGCAAGGAGCATATCCAAGTCAGTCACATGCAAGGCAAGTGCCCTGTATTACCTCTCTCCCCACGCCCCTCCCACAAACATTTCAAAGATCTGTGCTCCTACCCCATTTTGTTAATTAGTATTAGTTAATCCTTATAGCTAATGTGTAAAAGTAGAAAGGATAATGTGGCACTGTTGTGCATTTTCTTTTTGATAGTAAAACATATTAAGCTTATTTAGATTACCAAGCACCAAAATTTCCATCTCTAAAAACACGTGGTAATCAGCATCACAAACAAACCTTTAGCGCACTGGCCTCACTCTCATCGGAGTCTCGGAATTCCACACAGATTGCAATGTTCCGCGCCTAAAATCATTAATCATTCAAAATGAATCACGAAATGAGATTAGAAAATAACAATTTAGACCCTCCCACCAAAATATAGTTTATACTATTTACCTTGGCAAATGTTTTCTGGCTATCATATTTTAATTGCAAGGGATATATATACAGATGGTTTTTGTAAATAGTAAATGGGTAACAATATTTTATCATTTCTGGAACAAACTCTTCAACTTCCACAGTAATATTTTGACAGTTCTTTTCAAAAGGTTTCAGGGGCACGTAGGAAGAAGTAATACAGTCTACAGAGAAAAATATGCAAAAATAATATAATTTAAGAATCATTAACACAATCCTATGTTTATAAAAATACACATCACTTATTTCCCAAGAAGTCATTTTTTAAAAAAAGAATTCTTGTTTGTTGACAAAAAGTCATACAACCACTTTTAGGGCCAAAAAGGACAAGATGGAAGAGCTTAATGCTGATTTTAGTAGAACCCTTCAAACCAGATGTGAATTATTCTTTCATTCTCAATTGGAGGTGATTTGCCAAATATAACACATCATAATTTTGACAAATTTAAGCTCTGTGAAGAAATCCATTACATTCTTCTCCTGTGGCTGCAATTTAGCTTTCACTGCATATTTTTATTGGTATCAAGAATATAACAGTAAATGTATGCTGTCAATTAGCTCATGGCTAGTCAATTTTAAAAGGTTAACTTGGAACAGGTGCACATTTTCACCCAAGAAATAATGGCAGCCTTTGAAACAGCAGATCTTAAGATGTGCTACCAATAATAAATTCGATACTCCCAAATGTGAAAATGTCAAGGCCTTTGAAAAGTACAGCAAGCTAATGTTGAAGTAGTCCCTGCAGAAAAGGTTATTTGCAGAGTTAAAGGGCTCTTTCAGACAACCTGTCCCTGCTGCATAGTGAAAATGACAGAGAAAGATGGCCCAGAGAAAGTCAAATCTGAGAACAAGGTATATTTTGCTAGTTTTCTCTGCTAATTTCAGCAATGGTAACAAAAGAAAGTCCTGAACCATATAGTCAAGATGCTCTGAAGTAAGTGATCACTTACTACCCAGAGATAACACTTTCAAAGTTTGGGCATATTTTCTTCTTGTCTTCTTTCTGTGCATGTTCTATATTATACAAAATCCTACCATATATGCGGAACTTTATTTCATGGTGGGGGTACTTTGTCTTAGACATTATGTCTTATTCCATGAATGCTCTCTATACAATATGTCAAGTTGCCATTAAGTTTCATGGTGTTGCTGTACTATCATTGAGTGTCACTTTATTTTCCATGTTCCCTTAATAGACACAACACCACAAAGAATAACTTCAAACATGAATGCCATCTACTTTCAAACGTTTCTTCAGGAAACAAAGACCCATTGCACTATTAGATGCTTGAAACTATAAACCGCAAGACAGGAGAAATAGAACAGTGGGTCAGGTACTAGCCTTGCATGAGGCTAGTCCTGGTTCTATTTCTGGCAACATATATAGTTCCCTAAACACCACCAGGAGTGATCCCTATGCACACAGCCAGACATGGTCCCAACCCTCTCCCCCACCCCTCCAAAAATCCAGAATATCAGACTTTGGATGATTTAGTTATGGATCTCTGGATACCTATTGCCAAATTGAATTCCACTCATGGTGGATGATGATCCCTTGCCAGAATCTATTCTGCAATATAGTTTCACTTTAAATATTTTTGCACATTTGACAGATGAGCACAAGCAGCTTGTTCTCATCTGTCTCTGTGGCACTGTTATAGAAAGGCCACTTTTCAAATGTCTAGAGCCACTACATTTTATTTCCTGCAATTTCTCTTTTTGTACCTTGTACCTATATTTCTCCTGGACTCTTATATTTCTGTCATTCCACAAGAAAAGAAGTTATCTTTTTGATCCCTTAGTTGATAAAACTTATTCAAAGCAAAAGGTAACAGAAACCCAATAAGGGCACATTTGCCAGGTCAGAGATTATCATGAAAAAGTGTCTGATAAAAGCAACTTAATTCACTTCACTTATAACTACTAACCTTGAGTACTGAGTTGAACAATATTTTCCTAAACCCAAATTCATGCATATTGGAACCTCATTAAGTGGTCTCACTTGAAAATAATGTATTTGGAGATGAAAGGTTAGGGTGGACTTGACTTCCAATTACTGGGATTTGTAGAAGGCCATTTGGGGACACAAAGGAAGAGGGCCATAGAATATCATCGGGAGAGACAAGTCAATAAGCCAAAGGTGGTCAAGGGTAGTTGGGAGCTACCAGTGCTACTGGGAAGCAAGGAACAATTCTCCCTTAGAGCACTCAGACGGGATTACAGCCTGGCTCATACCTTACTCTGGTGTTTAGCTTACAGGAGCACAAGAGATCACAATTCTGTGGACTTAAGCTACCTTGTCTGTAATGCTTCTATACAGCAGCCTTAGGGAACTAATACACCATGTAAGCCTGAAGGAAAATGCTGATACGATAAAACTTGAGATTGAAACATAGTCCCAAAGGTTTATTTGCAACATGTAAGTACTTACTTGATAAATCCACAGGGACACATTCTACTGTGATGTTGAGCTGTCCAGGAATAATCTGCAATTTAGTCTTCTCTGGCCTAGAGGGTTAAAATTTTATTTTACTTAAAAATAATGATTCCCGGGGCTGGAGAGATAACACAGCGGGTAGGGCATTTGCCTTGCGCGTGGCCAACCTGGGTTCGATTCCCAGCATCCCATATGGTCCCGTGAGCACTGCCAGGTATAACTCCTGAGTGCAGAGCCAGGACTAACCCCTGTGCATCGCCAGGTGTGACCCAAAAAGCAAAATAATAATAATAATAATAATAATAATAATAATAATAATGATTCCTGGACACACTACTTACCCTCTTTCCAATATATATTTTAAAAGAAACTTTTATTCTTGTTTTGATCTCAATACAAATCTGATGGTGCTCAGAACATACTCCTGGAAGGGCTTGGGGGGATCATATGTGGTGCTGGGAATAGAATCCAAGTTGGCCATATGCAAGGCAAGAACGTTACCCACTGTACTATCTCTCTCCCACACCAAACATAAATTTTAAGCATTCAGTTTCTCCCACCTGCCTTAATTATTAAAATATTTGGGGCTGGAGCGATATCACAGCTGGTAGGGCGTTTGCCTTGCACGCGGCCAATTCAAGTTTGATTCCCAGCAACCCATATGGTCCCTCAAGCACCACCAGGAATAATTCCTGAGTGCAGAGCCAGGAGTAACCCCTAAACATTGCCAGGTGTGACCCAAAAAGCAAAAAAAATTCTACTCAATCCATTATATTGATATAATACCATATTCTTTATATTTTAAGTTATAACATTATTATTGACTGCACAACTCTATACACTTACTTCTTGTATTCTGAGAGCAACTTGAGAATGTCTTCATTTGAAAGCTTACTGCTGTCTTGTTTATACAAAGGAGAAAATCTCCCATCCAGATCCAGAGAGCCTTGGACATCTTTGAAAATGGGTCTAAAACAGTTAACAGGAGGGTTTATGATTTACTAAAATTTGATTAACTTAGATACTGTTAGTATTGGTAGAAGTATAAGGTGGTAAAATATTCTAGAAATAAGTTTAGCAGTTTCTCATGAAATTACAAATATACATCCTCCATGACCCCACAATTATACTCCTAGGCCTATTTCCATGTGGTACATCAACTTTCGTAACAGATGTATTAGTTACAGGGCTAAACTGGAAACAACCCAGAGAGTCATCAAGAAGTGAATGGACAAACTAGTGGAGGTATATTTCTACAATGAAATACCACTCAAAATGAACAACGGATATGTAAAACAACATAGCTGCATTCCAAATAGAGTGAACATAAGATACAACATGCAAGAGTACATACAGAAAGATTTAAGTTATAAGACATTTCAGAACAGATCAAAGTTATCTAGGTGATAATAACAAATCAGTGATTGCCTGGGTGGAATGGATGAGTGGGTAAGGGCAGCAGGAAATCTTCTGGAGTCATGGATATGTTTCTCTACCTTGACACTGAAATTGCATGACTTGGACATGTATAAAAATGTAGCAAATTGTTCCTAAAAACAATGGATGCACTTTAAAGGCCCTCCCGTTGATCATCAATTTGCTCGAGCGGGCCCAGTAACGTCTCCATTGGAGACTTTGTTGTTACTGTGTCTGGCATCAAAGGTATAATCCATCTCAATCAAGTCAATAAAACTAAATGAGCTCTTTAAGATCAATATATGTGTAGTCTCCAAGAGAAATTTATACTATTCCTCTCCCAACATGTCTTGCATTTTAAGCAGCCAGTTTACTGCTAAAATGAGAAGTAATGTACAACACCCTCCACACCAAAGGTGGCCCCAGTCAGAACCCTACTTCTGCCTAACAGAGTCTCTGAGGATGTCTTTGTAGACAAAGTTTACTTCTATGCGGTTTCAGAATGGGGTTTTGTCGTACACCTTTTCAATATCCTAACCAGGTGTTCTGCTACAGAGCTCTAAATAGTGTTCTCAACCTCTGTCTGACCATGGTCCTCTTCCCACCTGTTTTCTTCCTATAGCTCCCCTGTCCTACCCTTTGGGCCCCTATTCTTATGTCATAGCTCCTCACTCATCTGATTTTTCACCTGTGGTCCTACTGGAATATTCTGGGGGGCCTACAAGGGGCCATATGGCCCCAGTTGAGAAAAACTGGTTGAGATTACACTCTGTAGTCAGGTGCCATAGGTTTTCCTGCTCCTGCTCCATTCCATGCTGTGTGACTTTGAGCAAGGCACTTTACTTTTTGATTTCTGGGTCACACCCAGCAATGTTCAAGGGTTAACTCCTGGTTCTGCACTCAGAAATGACTCCTGACAGAGCTGAGGGGACCATATGGAATGCCAGGGATGGAAACTGGGTCAGCCACATATAAGGCAAATGGTCTACCTGCTGTACTATCATTCCAGCCCAGGCCTTTTGTTTTCACTCCCATGTGTCAATCTCCTGTCTCCAAGATGGAATAGCAGTACCCACCTTTTAAGATGGTACATGTTAGCACTAGACTACACTGATTTGCACTGAATCACTAGTACTATGTAACTGCAGAGAATAAATAACAGAAGCAGAACCTTTTTTTGGCTGGATCATCACTCACAGTATATATACTTACTTAAAAGCCTCATTTTACTTTATCTACTATTTACAAAGACCAACCTCCACTCCCCTTTGCCCAGACACCTACCCTTGTTGATCATTTTTTACCAGTGCCTTGAGCATGGACAATAAGCCTTTTAATTTATCAGCATACCAGAATTCTAGAACTTCCCACCACAAAGGCAACGATTATAAATAAAACAAAAGAGTTAATTAAATTAGACTCTCCTACCCTAATGCTACTCCCCACCACCCACTGATTATATTATTTAGAACATGGTGCCCTTTCTCCTGAATTTCCAGTGAGCTGTACAAGCTATACCACAAACAAGTCATCGAACCTGTGCTTCAAATGGATGCTCAACAAAAAAACTGTGTTGAGTCATTATAAATGGAGATATGCAAATTTGGGTAAAATCATGCATCCTACTTTAAGAAATGTGGTATAGGGGCTGGAGCCATAGCACAGTGGGTAGGGCATTTGCCTTGCACGTGGCCAACCCACGTTCGATTCCTAGCATCCCATATGGTCCCCTGAGCACTGCCAGGAATAATTCCTGAGTGCATGAGCCAGGAGTAACCCCTGTGCATTGCCGGGTGGGACCCAAAAAGCAAAAAAAAATGTGGTATAAGTGGTTGTGCTTCCAAATACACTTCCCATGAAAAGTTTGCTTAGCATGTAACCAGGAAACCAGATTATTCATTACACACCACTCATACTTAACAACTGCGTTCTTGACCTTCTAATTACCAAAATGATTGTATGATTGCTTTTCCAAGCACAAACCCAACCAGTTCTGAAATAGTGGGCACATTGTGTATATTTTCCTACCATTTCTGGTTTTCTGTCCAAAAAAATTCATCACTTTAGGAAATATCAGTTCTTTAAAACACAATTAAGTGGTGTCAGCCAGATCAGTAATGTAAGCCAAAGAAAATTTCTCTGAAGTTAAGACATGTAGTGGGTCTCTGATGTAGAGGAAATTCTAACAGAAAGAGTACTTACATCCCTGTCATGAACTTAATGTGAACCCTATGGTGATGGCATTTGGAGGCAAGGACATTGCTATATGTGCTGCTCAAGTAAGCATTGGAAGTGGGGACATGGGAGTTGATCAGTTCATGAGAATGGAGCCTTTACAGAGAGGCCAGAAAGCTGGACCACCCTCTTTCAGACCATGTAAGAACACAAGACGTTGGCTGCTTATGACCTGAAAGAGTTCTCAACAGAACCTCATCATGCTGGCACCATGACCTTGGTATTCCAGCCTCCAGACAGCAGAGAAAGAATTTTTGGGTTTTAGGTACCCATGATGGTTAAGCATGGTCTATGATCAATTTTTTAAAAAGACTGCACAAAAAATAAAATAAAATAGACTGCACAGATAAATACACATCCAGAGTGTTGCAACACCCAGTCTGTCAAAAAGAGCTGCTGAATGTTGCCACCAAGGACAACAGCACTGGACCTCACATAGGGAAGTGATCAGAAGGACAAATTTTATATGCACAAACCTGGTAGCCCAAGCAAACGGCATTCTGTATTGTCCAAGGCGGCTACACACTTGCTTAGCTGTCCTGTGAACCTTCTGGGCCGTCTACGGTAAAAAAAAAGAGAGGCTAAAATCTGTTCCAATTATCAGGGACTCACCTAGAAAAGTACTTCACCACCTCATAGGTATCAAGCATCAGTATCTAGGGGGAAACGGCATAAAAACATAAAATTAAATACACAAAGCTCATTAGCTATTCATTTTTCTAGACCAAAGTATTATAGTTTTGTCTTTTCTCATTAAATAGAGATGGGCAAAAAATTCAGATGGATGTAAGCCACATTTCGTGTGAAAGATCTTTACTGGTAAATTCTTAAGCAATTTGAAAGTAAATACTCCGTCATACATGAGCTACTCATCATTCTTGGGGAAAGTTTCTTTTGGGTAGAGTTGACCTTTTAATCCCTCAGATAAGAGCTAGGTGACCAGGAGTCAAGGCAATTAGTTTAGTGGGGAAGCAGGAGTGGCTGTTTGTAAAGGCAAAGGCTGTTTGTAAAGGAGAAGACAAAAGAGATTAACAACCTACAAAGTCTCAGGCTGTGAAAGGCTGGCTGAGAGTTTATCCCTATGAGAGAGAATGGAAGAAGCTTCAATCTAAATTGCTGAGATTTTTCTCTACTTCAAAAATTAGTCACATCTTCATTTAAAGATGTTAACACAAACCATCCTACTGTGTATTAATACGCCAGCATTTCATGCAAGAGAGGCATAACATTTTATATAAACAGGAAGGGGTGAAATCTGAGAATAAAATTCAGCTCTCTAAATGAAATTCACTTAGTATCATGAACGACTGAGAAACTTGTCTTTCATTTTTCTGTTCATCACAGGAGTAAATCTTAGTAAGAATAGCATTTGGGAACCATCTTGAGTTACAACTGAGATGCTAAAGGACTATACGTAGGACAGGGAGTAAAGAAAGTGGGGCTATTTTCAAGGATAAGGTGTCAAGAAACAGATGTCGCCTCCGTGTTTTCAGTCTTATTTTGATAAGTGATCAGAAATCAGATTTCCATGAAAACAAAACTAAATAAGCCAAATATAAGCTTTAGCATGCAGACCCATCATTGTATGCAATATTTACAATGTGCAGAATACTGAGAGAACTGAGCAGGGTACTTGATCTCCAAGAAGAGCAAGTGACAACACCATGGAAAACAAACAGAAGACAAATTATACATGAAGATGAAATGCTTATAAATACACTTTGTGCATACCTTTGCAGGGTCTGAATTTTTGATGTAGGGTTCTGCACAGTGTGTGATGTTTCCCTGCAACACCTTTTCAATTCTTGCCACCAGGAAAATTTCAGGATGTGGATTTGTCACTGAGAAAATTCCCTGGAGAAAATACTTTCATTAGATACTAGCAGACCACATGCTTCAGCCCTTTGAAGTGTCCCCCAGGCCCAACTCCACAAGACTCTATGTGACCTAATGGCACTGTGTTTAGTATGTTTATATTTAACAAAGAATCACAACCAGGATCCTGGAAATAAACAGAGTTCCCTTTTGTAAATTTTTCAAAATAGTTAATATACATTTCAAAATGAAATTGTGGGGAGGTAATTGGGGAGTACTCTTGGCGGTGCTCAGGGGACTCTGTAGTGCTAGAGATCAAACCCAGGCCTTCCAAATGAAATGTATGCCCCCCTGCCACTTAAGACACCTCCTTGGTCCCCAAAATGAATTTTGTAATTTGTCACCAACTTCACATATGTTATTAGTCCTTCCCCTGACCCCAAGGCATGCAGGTGTCACCATTACTGCTTAAATTCCTGTGTTTGACTATGTCTGTAATACACATAATTAGACCTAATTAAAACAGTGTTTGTTTGGCTTAACATGCACTAAAATTGTGTGCATTTTCCCAAGTGGAATAGGATATACAGTTTTAAATGTAGCTGCATGTAACTCCAGAACAACTTGCTTACATTGAATTAATGATATTTAAAAGAAGAAAATACTTTACTGCTCTCAGTAACATACAAACTAAAGCAGAGGTTGGGAAGGTGGCTCAAATGCTTAGTATCTGTGAGGTTCTAAATTCAATCCCTGGTACCACATGGCCCCACAACCTGAATGCCACACCTTCAGGCTCAAGCACTGTGCCATAAGTCTTATACCTCCAGACGGAACAACACCAGGTATGCACTAGGGTCCCCAAGAGCATCACTGGGTGGGACCCCTATTCAAAATGAAATATTCCTAAAGATAAAGAAGATGAGGTGCAGTCACACACAATGGAGCACTTAGCTATTCAAAAGACAAAATTCTTTCCTAACAGCTGCATAGTATTCCATTATGTAGATGTACCAAAGTTTCTTTAACTAGTCATCTGTTCTCGGACACTCGGGTTGTTTCCAGATTCTGGCTATTGTGGTGGAAAATATACACTGGTGGAGGGATGGGTGTTCCATCATTGTATGACTGAAACTCAAACATGAAAGTTTTGTAACTGTAGCTCATGGTGATTCAATTTTTAAAAAAAGGAAAATAAAATAAAAGATAAAATTCTCCCATTTGCAACATGGAAGGAACTTGAGGGTATTCTGTTCTGTGAAGTACATCAGAATGGGGAAGACAAGGTGGAATATAGGTGCAACATAAAGAAATAAACACTTAATGAAGAAAATAAAACTTACTCTTAGACACAAAGCCCAGACAGGTGGCTAGGAGAAAGGATGAGAGTTCGAAACAGGTCAAAGGATCCTTTATATGGAGGTGAAAGGAGACCATACTTTTGGTAGTGCTCATGACATTGGGTTGATAGTGAAATACAACAGTGCATACCTGAGAAACTTTCATAAGGGATGTGTCAATATTATCTTCATAAAAATGTATTTTTCAAAAAGAATCCAAGTCACCTATAGAAAACATCCCTTTGCTCATTCCTTTGTTGAAGTGAAAGAGCGTTGGTGCTTTCAAGGTGAAGGGAAAATTCGGGGGATCTGTAAATGGTTTTGCTCCTGTACGCTTTTTTGAAGGGTACTTATGCAGACAAAACCAAAATTATGTAAGACGCCTTCTGAAGGTCTGTGGAACAACTGTGTTGGCCCTGTTTGATTCAGCTCTTTCCAAACAAAATAACTTCGACTTTGCCTGTGGTTTGCCTGACCCTGTTGCTTAGACCAGTGTTTCTCAACTTTTTTCTGACCATGGCCCCTTGCCAATCTGGTTTCCTTCCAGTGATCTCCGTGACCTGAAGGTTGGCACCTTAGTCTTGGGTCATTGGCCTCAAGGATGCAATTTTTACCAGTGGCCCCCATGGAATATTCTGGAGACCCACAGAGGGCCATATGGCCCCCAGTTTTAAAAAAGAAAATGCTGGCCTAAAAGAACACCAAAGAACTCAAATAAAAGGACCCACTGCTCAGGCCCTATTGAGTTTTCTTGTTTTACTTGCTATCTCACCAACTGTGTTCACATAGCACTTTCCAGTTTTCAAAGCATTTTGGACATGTCATATCATTTGTTTTAGACAGACACCTCTATGGTAGGCAACGGGGAAGAGTAAACTGAGTGGAAGACCCAAAGAAACTGTCTCCGAGTCACAAGGATCTGGGTACTAGCTGATACTGCTTATAATCCCCAAGCAGCGAGCTTGCACTAAGGTAGTCAAATGGCCTGGGTTTTAATTCAGGCTTTAACATTTTGGAGTTCAGGCCGTTCGTGTCCTCTCCTCTAGTTTCTAAACTATGAAGTGGGGAGGATGAAAGGTAGAACTATTTCCTCCACACATCGGGACTGAGTGAAGTAGCATACATGAGCTATCTGGTCAGTACTAAAGTGGACTCCAAGCATTGTGAGAGCAGAGGGGTGGTGCTGGTAACTGCTGGGCAATGGGACTGGCAAAGAATCTCAGGTACCCTGCAGAACGGAGGCTGAGAGATGTACCCTGGACACAAACTCACATTTGTCCCAAGTCACAGAGCTGTGCAAGAGTTTTGAATTTTGACCCCCTCTGCCTGCACACAAGCCTGCAAGTATAGGCACCAAGATATTCACAGATTAAAAGATACAAGAGGCTTGGGTCCCAGGTTGTAGCTTAAGTGGCAGAAAGCATGCCTTGATTCAATCCCCAACACTGTATAGCCCTCTTATGGCCGTGATGGTGCCAAAGCACAACCCCCACCTCCACCCCCACTCCACCCCCCCGCCCTCCCCCCGCCAACAGGATTAGAGCAGCACTTCTCAATTGTGGACTTCCTTTTAACCTCTTTCTTCCTGTGGTTCCACCTGGCCTTCTACCATGGATCCCCTGATGACAATTTTCACCTGCAGTCCCCTTAGAATATCCTGGTACCCAATTGAGAAGTGCTGGCTTAAAGAAGTTTTTTTTATCCAACTTGATGGGTAAAGGTGGTTATATTATAGTGAGAATTTCCAGAGAATGCAGAGCCTAACTGTGTCTGAACCTTGAAGTCCATGCCCCTAACATTTCCCCTACTAGGCTGGGTGTAGAGAGTACTACTCACCACTGCAACAACCAACACTCATTGAGTACTAGAACCTGTTTCTAGTGCTCTGGGAATTGTTCACACTGCCGCTAGTAGCAACTAGTGTCCTTATTGGTCTGCGGGACACACCCAGCTGTGCTCAGAGGCTGTTCCTGGCTCTGTGCTCAGGAGTGACTCCTCCAGGGAGTCAGAGGACCATACATGCTACCAGGGATTCGAACCAGGGTCAGCAGGATGTAAGCAAACACTTAAACTTCTGTATTATCTCTCCAGTCCAACTAATGCAGTTTTTAGGGAAGCAGAAATATTTCCCTTCTTCAATAGAAGTGAACACTTTTTTTTATAGCAAATGAAATCTGAGAACCCTAATTCTCAAACTCAAAAGTTGGGAGTTGTATAAATTCTAAAACATCTTTAGATTGAACATGTAAGCTCAGATATCCAATTCCTGGCAAGGCTGAGGTATTCTTATTAAAGAACTGTGATTTACAAAGTTATTGATAGTTGAATCTTATGCATATAATATTGCAATAACAATCCCACAACTGGTGTCAACTTCCCTCCACCAGTGTTCCCCTATTCCCTCCCCACCCCAACACCCATTCCATCCCCACCTGCCAACTTATTAGGCACATTATAAAGTTTCCGTGATTGCAGCTTTGATCTCATGTTTTCAGTTCTGTTGAGTCTGTGTTTTGGATAAATGGCTACACCATTCACCCATATCACCGGTATAACTGGTAAAGGTAAAGGTAAAGGCCCTCCCGTTGATCGTCGATTTGCTCGAGCGGGCCCAGTAACGTCTCCATTGGAGACTTTGTTGTTACTGTGTCTGGCACAGTAACGTCTCCATTGGAGACTTTGTTGTTACTGTGTCTGGCATATCGAATACTCTCGGTAGCTTGCCGGGCTCTCCGAGAGGGGCGGAGGAATCGAACTCGGGTCGGCCATGTTGGCCGCGTGTAAGGCGAACGCCCTACCCGCTGTGCTATCGCTCCAGCCCCCAATTAATTTTAAAGGAGGGATGAATAACAATCTTTCTTCCGAGAACCATTTGGATATTTACAACATCATTTTTGGGCCAGACACAATATAGGTAGACAGGCTGTGGACAGTCCATGAGATACATCTATATCTGTCCCATCATGTACCAGGGTCAGATCACACTGTTTCAAACACCACGCAAATGCTCTCAATGCCTGGGTTTTGGGGGGTGGGGTTAATTTTGTTTGCTTAATCCTGGCTCTGGACTTGAGCATCACTCCTGGCAGGGCTTGGGGGACCCTGTGGTACTGGGGATCGAACCTGGGTTGGTTACATGCAAGGCAAGCACCCTACCCACTGTAGTCTCTCTTCTGCCTCGCTCATTCCTGTTTTTTTTTTTTATAAAATGAGGTTCTGTGATTTACAATATTGTTAATGATGGCTTCTCAGGCACATAATACCACACTCATCACCAGTTCTTCTGATAGTCGTAAGTGCAAACTGCTCTCGCCTGTTGATCTGTGATCATTTTACTGCTGCTCCTCCTAGAAACCACATGTACTGAGCAAACATGGTGGACCAGACAACGCTTAAGTGTTTTTTAGGACCTGGCACACCTCATCTGAACCTCAAAACAGCCTCTGGATGCTGCTATGACCATCAATTCCAGATAAGGTGGATAAGGCCTAGAGATGTTCTTTTTCTTCTTGAACCAGGGCCAGCAAGGCAACATCGAATGATGCTCAGGGTCCCTGTGGGACCAAGGATCCAACTCAGAGTCTCATATATGCTAAGCATGTACTCTATCACTTGAGCTATCTCCTTTGCCCCAAGCTATGCATGGAGGGAGGGAGAAGGGAGGGGGGAGAGAAAGAGGGAAGGAGGGAAGGAGAGAAGAAGGGAGGTGAAGAAGTATTTTAAAGAGCTAAATCTTAATCAATGGAATACCATATTAACCTTTATTTGGAATGTGGGGACTGGGAAATAGTACAGTGGCTAGTGAACAGGCCTAGCATGCACAATTCCAGGTCTGACTCCCTGTGTAACACGGTTCCCTGAGCATTGCTAGAGCCTTGGAAGTCCCCAGCACTACCTAGGTATTCCTGGTACCACAGGGTCTGAGCAGCATCACATCCTTGGGCCTTTGCACAAACTAATTACCAGGTTGGCCAAGAATTGCCTATGGAGCTCCTGGACCTCTTGAGCACTGCTGGAGAGCCCTCCTCAAAAACAAAAAAGAATGTGACTGATAAGCCAGAGAATACAGTGGGAAAGGTATTTGCCTTGCCACCTCCAACCCTGTTTTGATACCCAGCACCACATACGGTACCCTAAGCATTGCCAAGAGTAATATCTGAGCAATGCCTAGTATGACCAATTAATAGATACTGACATAGGATGATAAACATGATGTTAAATACAGTGAGTATGAAACAGCATAACTAGAACACCAGTGGTATGAGTATACAGAATAAGCTTCCTCTTTAAAGTCCATATTCTCTCTTGAACACATAGCTTTCTTTTTATGTCTCTACATTTTTTCTCGTTTGCTCCTTCAAGCTCATATTGTCACTTGAATATGCATTCCCTTACTTCTTCCTCCCTCACATCTTTCTAAGTTTCATTCAATAAAAACTATCTTGCTTCACTAAAAAAGAGCATATGAAACATGTCTGTGTTTCAAAGATATCTGGAAATAAAGGGACAACACATTAATAGCATCTAAAAGTGGTAGTTTTTTCTTCTTTTTATACTTCTGCATTGCTTGAGTGTTATATTAAATAATGTCCTATCCTTATCATACAAAAAAGGAATGATGCATTTATCGGGGCAGCGGGAGAAAACTCCTTATGATGTGAGCTGCTTTATCTTAAGCCTCTTTCCACTTTCATTCTCTTTCATTTCGTTCTTGTGTCCTCTCAGCAACAAAAACCCAAAAGACAGACCATCAATTCTACTCTGCCTAACCTCTAATGGCCCCCAATCTGGTGCGAGGTCAAAATGCCAGGAAACTTGTTAGACTCTTTTTAAAGAGACCTCTTTACACCAGAGAGGACAGAAGAGAACAGCATCACAGCTATGACACAGCAGTTCCCTCCCATTGCTTTGCCATCAGAATCCTAGATAAAGGGTCTTTATGCTCCAGTGAAACTACCTACTCATAATGGAAATGGGAATGAGATCTGGAAAAGTTAGAGTAGGGTCAATTTTCCCCCTCAAAAAACAGAAGCCCTTTTGTCACCATGCATGTGTCTGCTGTTGTCTTATGTCAAGAATTAGGCTCTACCCATGGAATGGGAAAAATTATTTACCTAATACCCATCTGGAGTTAACATCCAGAATATACAAGACATTAGTAGAACTGTACAAGAAGAAAAACCTCCAACCCCATCAAAAATGTGAAAAGCAAATAAACAGAAACTTCCTCCAAAAAAATACAAATGGCAAAAAGGCACATGAAAAAAATGCTCTACATCACTAATCATCAGGGAAATCCAAATCAAAACAACAATGAGTTATCATCTCACATCACAGAGACTGGCACACATCAAAAAGAACAAGAACAACCACTGCTGGTGCAAATGTGGGGAGAAAGGGACTCCCTTTCATTGTTCGTGGTAATGCAACTGGTACAGTCTTTCTGGAAAACAATATGGGCACTCCTCAAAAAACTAGAAATTAAGCTTCCATAAGACCCAGCAATACCACTTTGGGGAATATATCCAGGGGGTACAAAAAAGCACAGTAGAAATGGCATCTGCACCTGTAAGTTCACTGCAGCACTGTTCACAATAGGCAGAATCTGGAAACAATCCAAGTGCCCAAGAACAGACGACTGGTTAAAGAAACTTTGGTACATCTACACAATGGAACACTATGCAGTTGTTAGGAAAAATGAAGTCATGAAATTTGCTTCTAAGTGGATGGACAAGGAGAGTATCATGCGAAGTGAAATGAGTCAGGAGAGGGGCAGACACAGAATGACTGCACTCATCTGTGGAATATAAAATAACATAATATGAGACTAACACCCAAGCATAGTAGATACAAAGCCCAGCAAGATTGCTCCATGGATGGAAGCCTGTCTCATGAGCTGGGGGAGAAGGCAGCTGGGAGAAAGAAGGGATCACTAAGTAAATGATGATTGGAGGGATCACTCAGGATGGGAGATGTGCGCTGAAAGTAGATAAAGGACCAAACATGATGGCCTTTCAGTATCTGTATTGCAAACCATAATGCCCAACAGGAGAGAGATAGTACGAGGGAAATTATCTACCATAGAGGCAGGGGGAAGTATAGGATGGGGGAGAAGGATACTGGGAACATTGGTGGTGGAGTATGTGCACTGGTGGAGGGATTGGGTGTTAGACCATCGTATGACTAAAATTCAAACATGAAAGATTTGTAACTAGCTCACTGTGATTCAATAAAAAAGAAAAGAAGGAAAGGAAAAGGTAAAGGAAAAGGAAAAGGGAAAAGGAAAAAGGAAAAGGAAAAGGAAAAGGAAAAGGAAAGAATTGGGCTCTACCCGTATTTTCCAAAGTGAGTGATACCGCTCCTGGAGGTCACTAAATTGATCCAGGAGGTGGAAGTAATCTCTGTCCACCCAGAAGCACTTTCTATTAAAGAAACTGTAGGGCAGTGTAGGATAACACTGTTTTATCCTTCCTGCATAGCCTCAGGTAGTTTAGGTTTATTGGGTTGCTCCCATCACAGTGTTCCCATTCCTCTGTGTTTATTTGTAACTTCTTTCTTTGAGCTCTGTTGAATTGTAAATATTGTTTTTCTCTTCTCCCTAAGTCCTTTGCATAGTTTATTCAGAGTAATGTCCTTTTTGTATGGACACAAGAAGAGAGTATGCTTTTGTTATGTGACTCTCAGTGATATATTCCTCCTGGGTATTCTCTCACCTAAGCCTCAGCTGCCCTTTATTCCTAGAGCCCCCCAAAGCAGGGTCCCGACAAGGAACTGGATGGAACCAGGACAAGCGGTAAGCTATGTGCTGCCCTGGCATCAAGATGGGCCTGGCTAAAGCACCATAATGTTTAATTATAAGTTAAGAGCTTGTTCATGGGCAAATGCTGTCATGATCCAAAAAGTAATAATTAAGATTCAGACCCTGCTAGGGTTAGGAATGATTAATCTGGCCTGAGTGCTGTAGTCTGAGTCTGTGGTAAGATGTCCCCAGGAGAGTTGCCCTGCAAGCCTCAATGGTATCTCTTACTGTGTTCATACAAAAATAACTAGTATTAAGATGTCACAGTGGTAGGGCGTTTGGGAATGAGGAGCAGTGTGAGACCAGAATAGGAGGCTCAGAGAGACTGGGGCAGGTGCGTGGGGAGAATGAAATAAACAGCAACTGATCAATCAACCAACTTGGCCCTCATTTTGTCCTCCGTCTGCCCCATGGCCCAGGCTGCCCTGGCTGGGCAAGCTGCCCAGGCCCACCCCGAACGTGGGCAGTAGGGGAAGAGCCATCGGGGCCCCACCTGGCTGCCCCTCGGAGTTTTATACAGGCCAGTACATTTGAAAACTCAGTGCTAAACACTGGGAACATACAAATCAACCAAATATGGCTCCAGTTTAGTTCCTTCCTGGATGCAGGTAGCTCAACAAATGACCTGACATCTCACTGATAGCTTCACTGAGCACTCCACTGCTCACTTATTCTATACTTTATTTCTCATCTCTGCATGTCTCGCATTCCAGATCACAAGACTTTGAGACTCACCTTGAGGTCCTACTGAAAATGTTATGTTGCTAATTTTACCAGCCAATTATTACTAACATGTTCCTTAGTGTTCACTTTCCCCCTCCAACTTAATGTCTCCAGAAAATACCTTTATACAGAATTAAGAGAAGTGGTATCCCCATGAAAACACAGACCTCAAACTACTAAATAATCCAGAGTGTTGATTTTCTTATTCTGAATGTGCTACCTAGTCTAGACAATCACTCTTTACCTGCTTTATGTAGCGTAACTGAGATTCAGCAATTCCATGAATCAAAGATTCAGATGAAGAGCTTCTAGGGTTTCCATCACTTGCCAGTTGGGTTGAAGCACCCCACAGCATTTCACGAACAGATGGAGGATTCAGGTCTACATGGAAGTCAGCTGAAATCTTACAATTGTTCTTGACATCAAATAAGGCAAGATTGATAAAAAATGGTTCAACCTGTAAATGAAAACATTTATGGTTATCTACATTTATCTATAATTATAACTAAGATTCACATTATTATGTTATGCTCACTTTGGCAGCACACATGCTAAAAAGTATAACTAAGACTCTTGGTGGCAAAGGTGTACAAATTAAAAAATAAGTCTTTACATTCCTCATATACCCCAATCAGCATTCCTGAGTTCAACATTTAGCTGAGGTTACACTGCAGCTTATTTGCATATAATAACACATTCTAAAATAATAGATTATCAAATTTTCACTTTGGTCAGTGGTAAATAATTTCACAAGTTTAACATTTTTTAAGTGATGCAGAAAAATCAAAAGCCACATTTAAAAACATCAATTACTCTATGAATAAAATTCTATTCTCTGTGGTTTTACGTAAATTATTTAAACATAATGCCAATGTTATAGAGTCAAAATAAATCTTCTCTGTGGTCATGTTACAGCTTTCCAGATAATACATTTCATAAGAGCTAATATCAGTCAACATCAAATTACTTGACAAAAGCTTTGTCCTATCAGCAGTTCTGGAGGACATGATTCCTACAGATGGCAGTTAAAAGCTGGTCACAGAGAGAAATTTCATGCCAGATGGCATAAAGATTAACCCGTTGCACACAGGAAGTCTGCTAGTACATTTCAGTTACTTTGTAAGCAGAGAAATCACCACAGTAGCTATTTTTCAACATCCAAACTACAATCGAAAAGTAAATCTGAACAGGAAATGCAATCTCTGGCAATTTTAACATTTATAGTTTTAAAAATTACAGAGCAACTCAAGTGACCCATGACAGCTAATATTAGAATTTTCTGTTCAGAAAATAATAAATTCACTCTAGAATATTAAGGAGAGCTGACAAAAAAGCATCTGTAGCTATCTCTGACTGGCTTGAGTATTCCTTATTGATTGTAATGAGCCAATGTTACAGAATAAATTATTATTTAGAAGAATATACAAACTCGAGGGCTTCCTAGGTTTTGGGCACATGCTCTTCTCTTAAATGTCAAGAGGCTATATATACTATCTGCTGTTTTGAATAGGTAAGATACCCATGAATCTGCTCACATGAAAACATATTTTTACTAAAGAAAGATGGGTATGAAAATTTTCTACATCAAATTAATCATAATATGTAGCAAAGAACTATTCATTCAAAGCCATTTCCTTTCTGACTGAAGAGCAAATCATACATACATTTGTGGGTGGTCCTTTTGCATTGTCTCCAACTTGACCCAAGATATTAAATGTTAAATCATGACAACTGACTAGGAATCGCTTATTACATTTTTCTTCAAATGGTTTTATATCAGGTTCAATTCCTGAGAAGTCCAATCTCTACAAAACAGATAATACAAGTCATTTCTAAAAGAAAAGTGGTAAGATGTAAACAAAAAAGTTACAGAATCCAATCTTCTCTGTCCATATTTCATTTGAACCTTTTCTCATTTTTCAATCTACAAGCCTTACACTAAGAAAAATGCCTTTCTCCTTTTCCCTTTTTCAATCTATAAGAGAAAAATCTACAAGCTCTTACAATGAGAAAAATTCCAGTTGGCAATGGAAAAAGTCACCTACAAAACCCTTCAGGTCATCACTCCCCACCTCCCTCCCAAACTCCTTAGTCCTCATCTTTTAACCATTCTTGTCTTTCCACCCCCACCATTTCAGACACACAAGTCCAATTAGCTATTTCTCCATTATACCAAGTATACATCCATCTCAGGGCCTTTGCACTTGCTGTCTTATCAATCACTCTACCCACAGATAGATTCATTACTTACTCCCTCACTTAAATCAAATGTCCAATCAATTGGCATTTCCACAGAAATCTTTCTTAGTTCCCAATATAAAACCATACTAATATTCTCACTTTCCCTCACTTAGTTTTTCATTATTGCTGTATATTTATTTAGGTTTTTTTATTTCCCATGAAACAGTTTGCTCCAAGATGCTAAGAATTTCATTTCTTTGATGAACAATTCGGGAGTCAAAATGGCAAACAAGGGTACTAGAAACATAATAACACCAGGGGCCATGCAGGTAGCTCAAAGGCTCACAAGTTGCATGTTGGACAACTGAGTTTGACCCCTGGCACTGCCTGGTCCCATAAATGCTGACAGCAGCAATATCAATCTCCTCCAGCACTGATGAGTATGGTTCAAAAATCAAACAAAACTAGAATAACTAAAGTAACACCACCACTGCTAATTGGAAGACTTGATAGAGAGTGATGTTGCTAACTTAATCTACCAAAAATGAATAGTAGATTTTTGAGGGCTGGAGCAATAGCACAGCAGGTAGGGCGATTGCCTTGCACGTGGTCGATCTGGGTTCCATTCCTCCATTCCTCTCGGAGAAACTGGCAAGCTACCATGAGTATCCTGCCCACACAGCAAAGCCTGGCAAGCTACCCATGACGGATTCGATATGCCAAAAACAGTAACAAGTCTCACAATGGAGACGTTACTGGTGCCCGCTCAAGCAAATCAATATGAATAAAGGGAGGACAGTGCTACAGTGCTACAGATTTTGGGGGTAGTAGTGAGTAGAAAGATTTCAGTTTAGCATGTGGAGAACCTGATGCTATGTTGCTAAGAGAGGAGAAAAAAACAGGAGATATCTCAGTGGAAATCTGGATTTAGGAGTCACTGGCATCTAAGGTGAGGAGGAGGAGGACAAGACTAGTGCCCTGGGGACCACCTACGTTTAAATGATGAACAGAGGGAGAGGCGTCTGCTCAGGAAACTGATAAACACCGAGCTTAGCTCCTAACAGAGCCGGGGGAGTGGTACACTGCCACAGATCTATTTTTAAAAATCATCGGTATTCGAAAGGTTTTTTAAAAAGTTTAAAAAAAAAGAAGTTGGGAGTCAAGGAATTCCTCTTAGCAAGGAGGAATCTGTTCTTCCTCAAAGAAACTTAGGCTACTCCTCAGCTCACATAGTTTAGCCGATCTAAGTTTATCTGTGCATTCTGACTGTCTGACCAGACTTACATTCTATTTACGGAAGGAGGAGTAAGACAATCTCCTAGACTTCATTAAACCCAGAGGAATGGTAGACAGGAAATGATTGTGTGAACCTGAGCAGAACATACTGCCAAAATGGGAAAGGTAAGCCAAGAAAGGAGACTTGCACAATTGCCTAAGAAGGCCAAGCCAAAACAGGTATTAGGCCTGGAAAGTTCAGGCCTAATAAATCCTCCTCAGAATAGCTGAAAGTTTAATATTTGCATCTGGCATCCTGGTTTTCCGCACTCTGAGTCTATTTATCTACAAAGGAAATACAAATGTGTGGTACTAGACAGCTCCCTCTTAAACACTTATCTATCTGTGGAGCCAAAGCAGGCAAGGCATTGCCATGGAGATCATTTCTAATTTCCGCCCATTTATCTATCTGCTTTCCTTTCTTACACAGACAGTGGAATGTGAAGGAAAACTGAACCAACCACTCCAAACCCCAAATCCTTTCCTTTCTGAGGTCTGTGAGGTCAAATGCTTTCTGAGTCCTGTGCATATGCATGGCCTTGGCTGTTCAAAGTTGGAGGGAGTCATCCCTTTCCCTCAGCCAGTGTCTCTTTATTCTCTAAGTCTGGGGTAGAAAATGTGCCTCTTGGGGCTGGAGCGATAGTACTGTGGGTAAAGCATTTGCCTTGCATGTAGCCAACCAGGTTCGATTCTCAGCATCCCGTATGGTCCCCTGAGCACCGCCAGGGGTAATTCCTGAGTGCAGAGCCAGATGTACCCCTGTACATTGCCGGGTGTGACCAAAAAAGAAAAAAAAAGAAAAAAAAAGAAAATGTGCCCCTAAGGGACTGAAGCACTAGTACAGTGTGGAGGGTGCTTGCCTTGCACGGGGCCAAAAGCCAACTCAGGTTCTATCCCTGGCACCATAAGTTCCCCAGAGCACCACCAGGAGCAATTCCTGAGTAGAGAGCCAGAAGTATGCCCAGAGTATCACCGGGTATGGCCGGAAAACAACCAAAAATGTGCTTCTAAACACTGAAATGTGAAGGCCAGAAAGCTCGATAGGCTAATCACAAGCTTTGCAAACAGGAGACCCAGGTCCCATCCTGGCAATGCCTGGCCTCAAGATCATCTCCAGGAGTGACGACCAAGCACAAAACTCAAGAGCAGTAGCTCCCGAGCATCACTTACTTAGTATGGCCCAAAAAGAACCCAACAGAATTTTTTAAAAACACTAAACTGAAAGGAAAGGTAGATACTGTAACATCTTATTTAGAAAAGGTAAAACTGGGGGTGCTTACAATTTCCTCACAAACTCACTCTAACAAACAACTCAAGTATAAAGGCAGTACAGTTCCATGACCACAAAAACACCACACCACAAGGTTTTTAAAGATACTGGACTTAGTTTCAACCGCATTCAATTGGCTTCTTTGTATACAATGAAAGAGCCTGACATATCCAATTAGAGCCTAATCATTTGCGGGGAGGAGGAGGGGTGTGACGGGTGAGGGAAATCCTAAGCCTTGAGATGCTTAGAACAAGTAAATTTCTAAATAAATATCTTAGAGTATTCCAGGGCCTGTTATATTCTTATTTTTTTAAGTCACATAATTTACACCAGCAGTGTAATACTACTATGGGATAACATTAAGGAAACATTTTTCAAAAGTTTCTCTAGTCCATTGTTATATTTTTATTAAGAAAAAATGTTTACATTGTTTATAGACTAAATATAATTTTTTCATTTCAAACTGGAAAAATAACTCAAGAGATCAAATGAAGCAAAAAGAAAAAGGGGAAATCAGTCTTTCTCAAATTATTTTGTATTTTCAAGATATATTTTCATTGATAAAAAAAACTGTGATGCTTATATAACACATACTTTTCTATTTCAGGAGTCCCAGAGACTATCACTAGAAATCTCAGAGAAAAAAATAAAAAGAAAAAATTTTATATTCCATTTAATAATTTTATTTTCTTTTAAATTATTTTCTACTATTAAAAGTATTTGTGTACTCTCATATGCAAAATGTTTCCATTTAAACAAACCAACAATTTCATTTAAAATATCACGGGAAGAATTTAGTTCAAAAATTTTAATATTGGTGAATGTGGAGCTGTAGAGAACTAGCCTTGTATGTGTGAGGTTCTAGTTTAATCCTTCACCAAAAAACAACCTCATTAAATTTCATTAAAATATCATAGAATTATAGGCAGGAAGATAGCTCAAATGGGTGGAGTATATGTTTTTCACACAGAAGCTGTCCCAAGTTTGATCCATGGCACCACACAGTCTCCTAAGCATGGCTGGCTGTGCCTCTTCATATAAAAAAAACTTAAAATACATGGAATAAAATATTAGCTCTCTCTATGTATATCTTAACAAAAGTGCCTAATTCTTCTGCATACATTCACATAAAGTTGAAGTTCCCTGCAGAACTATTTAATGTAAGTGGGATTAAGCCAAACATGTAAAATATCCCAGGTCACCCATCACAGGAGCAGCCACATGAGCTCATGCTAGGAGCAAAGGCCATGGAAGAAGCAACTGCCTAGCCAAGGACCCAGGGTTCAGCCACACCTCCACCAGCAGAGAATGTCAGAGGGGTATGTTCAAGGCCACATAGCCAGCCACAGTGAACAGAAAGGATTCTGGAGCCAATGAGATAGAGCTGGGGGAAGGCACAAAACCACTGGAATGAAAAAATGAAGTAATAAAAATGTTGATCACTGTCAAAAAAAAAAAAACAAAAAAATACCCAGGCTACAGGCCTACATCAAAACTGGAAAATTAATCGCAGTTCAGAAAATTTAAGTTTTTTTTTATCTCTGATAGTCATGGCTACTAAATCATAATTGTATTTACTGAATTTCACTGCAAAATTATCACAGATTTGATGCAAATATTTTTTGCAGAAATATGAGGTGTGATCATTATATAATGCTTTTTTTAAAATGTGCTATTACTTAAAAACAGGTTATGAGAATTATGTGGTGGTGATGATCATTCAGTGAAATAGGCAATTGTTTAAAAGAGCACCAAATCCACCTCTGAAATTCTTTATCCACTTTGAGGAGTGAAGCAAACAGTGACTTCAACATTTTACAGAAGTTGATTATATAAAGACATCAACCGTTTATACCTGAACTTCTGAATCAAATGAAAAGAGATTCTGTCTTCCATCTCCTCTGCTGAGTTTGTTTAACTGTTCGGTTTCTCTTCCATACTACAATTAGAAAAGAAATAGAGACATATAGCAAACATCTCTTCTGTAAAAACAGTATTAAATGGCATGCAAATATCTCATTTATGTGAAACTAGCAATCTGACACAGCTTCTAAAAACATATTATTCTCCATCCCTATACACCACAGACAAAGAACAGCTTCCTAGCGTGGACTGTCAACAGTGACCCATGTAAAACTATGGATCACATTCTTATACTTAAAATAATAACATCAAGACTACTAAACAACCTGCTTCAACTCAGCAAAGTAATCTGAAAGGTTTTGGGTGCAATAGAAAAAAAAATGAGAGAGAGAGAAATCTTATCATTTATTTAATTCTCATGTATTCCGTGATGCTAGCTATGGAGTATTACAGTTTTTAATTACTCTAAGAAAAACATAGTGTAATGCATAGTCTGTATTAAGAATGCCTCAGAAAAGTTATACATCGAACTATACTAAATTACAGAAACCCTAGACTGGAGGATCAGGAGTATATCCCACACTTTTGGAGAAAGGCTTTGAAGCTTAAGAGAACCTGTGTTCTATAACACAGGGGAGGGTGTTTTTAAATGGAATTTTTCATACATTTTTAATAACTAATATTTCACTTATGTTGAAGGTCCTATATCTGATCAGGTTTTATATTCCTTAAAGACATGTAAATTTTTATTACACCCTTTTACTTATGAATGCAGATACTTAAGCAGTATCTATAACAGTATTTTCTAACATAAACCAATATTCCCTTTCCTGGGATAAAACACACTTTTATAGATCTACTTAGATTTTCCCATTATAAAGTTTTCTTAATTCTCTTAATTCTCACTAAATGTTTCATTTGAAGGATTTATATTTCATGTACATTTTTAAAATGTTAGCACAGAATCATTAATAAATTATAATTATATATCTGTAAAAAAGAAAGATATACAGCTTTAAAATATATATTATCAACTTATCATTACCAATTTTGTGGAATTTCAAAAGTTTACTCTATATGTGTGTACGTGTCACTAACTCCATGGTAATAATTAAAAAAGGATGTCTACCATAATTGAGATAAACAAAGAAATGGGGGGTGGAGTGACAGTACAGCAGATAAGGTGTGGCTGACCTGGGTTTGATCCCGGGAACCCCATATGGTCCCTCCAGTCTGCTAGGAGTGATCTGTGAGCACAGAGCCAAGAAGGAATAAGCCCTGAGCACCACCAGGAGTAGCCCAAAGACAAAACCAAAAAAAGGAACATGTTAAGGAAAAAACAAATGGTCAAAAGTTATTGGAACTGGAGAATTCATCTATAGAATTGAGTTTACACTGAAGGCAAAACGGGGATGATTCCATGAGACATTCAGACACTGTTAGAGGGAAGTGGGCTCTCCCATGATGGGAGCAATGTTGGAATGATGTACATAAAAAAGTATAATGATACTGTAAATCTTGGTACCTCAATAAAAATGGTTTAAAAACTAAAAAATAGATCAAATGAAAAAACTTCTAAATTTGCATTGACTTGGTAGTTCAGGGAAAAGTCTCAGTATAAAGAGATTTGACAAATGAATAGATGATAATTTTCTTATCCATAATAGTATGACCATGCTAATCACCTCTATACTTTCAAAAGTGGCTCATTTCAAACTACAAAGAGCAGAGTAATTAGCACAAATGATGTCTGTTTATCAAAAGCTTTAACTGAAGGGGCTAGAGCAATAGTACAGCAGGTAGGGTGCCTTGCATGCGTCCAACCTGGGTTCGATTCTCAGCATCCCATATGGTCCGCCAAGCACCGCCAGGAGTAATTCCTGAGTACAGAGCCAGGAATATTACCTGAGCATCACTGGGTGTAACCCAAAAAAGCAAAAAAGAAAAAAAAAACCTTAAACTGATGAAACTAGTCCTATACATTACATCTAGGTATTTACATATGGAGCAAAGATATGATCTTCACTTGAGACTAATATACTCAAATCATTAGCTTGAATATCATGTTCAATCTCTATCAGTAGCCCCTTGAATGAGGAATATTGTGTGAATGATACACGATATGTAACCCAAATAATAAACAGCAGATAATATTAATCAAGAAAAAAAATAAGACTTTCCAATCTGTTAGCTGGGACAAGTCCCCACTTTAAAAATACTTAACTTTTCTTTCGCCATTGCTACCTGTTCACAAATTTACTGTGGTTTGTAACTTAGAAATAGCACTGCCAAATGGAATTCAGCATTGTCTCCATTGAAGGCAAATTGCCATAAGGAAGATGTACCTTCATCAGTTCTGGATGCATGCTCCTTTCCAAACTGGCCATGATGTTCTCACTTTTTCCTTGGCTGCTTGTTTCATCATCTGTAAATTTATTAAAAGCAGATGTTCCAAAGCATGAAGACCATTACTAATCACCAAAGAGGAAGATCCTAACTCTCTCTCCTACCCCAGCCTCTCCAACAAGATTTACTGCAAAGAATTCTGATTATGAAAGCAAAGGGGAAACTTTAATGGACTTTTGAAAATCTGCCATGAAGTCCCTATGCATTTCAGACTAGTTGTATTTCATGTGTCAGCTCATGCAGCGTCAACTCTTTAAAAACAACAGCCCCCTCAAAATCTATCAACCTCCATCTTCCCTTTTAATGAAGAAGGTAGGCCAACCGTCAAGATAAAGAGTTCTATATTCACTTTGCCCCAAGGATATTACTGTGGATTAAAAATGCTGAAGGGTATTACCTCAATACTGCATCATTTTAAAAGTCTGACCTTGTGCTGTTTCTACTGTCTCCTTTTTCTCTTGCACCAAACTGTCGGTATTGATCTGAATAATCTTTTTCAAAGTTATCAACCATTCTTCCATTTCCTGTTCATTTTCAGCAGCCAGATAATGACTATACTTATCAAGCATCTTGAGTTCAAAAGCATGACGGCGCATCTTGGGGCACTAAAGGAAAGAGACAGAGCAGGGGTGGAAATGCAACCAGTTAGTTTAGTGGCTCTTTTAATATGAGATTTCATCTATTTATTTTTACTTAGCACAGTACATACGGTGCCAATACTTTCCTCAAAGGATGGCTTCTTCCAACTAGAAACAGAAACTCCAAGACATCAAATGACCCTGTCAACTGTACTCAACACAGTAGTAGAGGAGAAAAGCAGTTTCAAAATGCTATTTGGTGTGTATTATCATTTAAGACCTTTCAACAGACTTCACACTTATATACTCAAACTACTACCATGAAAACAAGCAAATGATGGGCCAAAGAATATAGCATGGGGGTAAGGAGCTTGCTTGCTTGGCCAACCCTAGTTTGAACACCAGTACCATAAATATTCCCCTGAGAACTATCAGCGGTCATTCCTGAGCACAGAGGCCAGGATAACCCCTGAACATCCCATGTGACCCAAATCCTCTCCCTCCCAAAGGCTAATGTTTTACTAGTACCTGATTAAAGTTTCCCCTGCATAGTTATGTATTTTTAAAATCAATTCCTATAGTCTGAGAGAGAATTCACTGGGTAAGGTGCTTGACTTGCATGTGGCTGACACAAGTTCAATCCCCAGCATTCAGTCCCTAGAGCACTATCAGGAGCAATTCCTGAGAAAAGAGCCAGAAATAAGCCCTAAGCACCATCAGGTATACTGCCCCCACCAAAAACATTAAAATGAAACAAAAACACATTTCATTGTAACCTGATTAATTCTGGTACTTGTGTTCCTTTTCCTAAAATGAAGCAATTAGTGTTACCATTTATGCTTTAGGCGTTCAATTGCTATTTGCTTTATATCACACCATGAAGTGCCATTTTGATATCTAATTCATCTTTCCATGCATACTATGAAATGCATCATAGTCACATCGAAGAAAAACAGAATCGGCTTCCATGAAATTATTACTGCCACCTCGAATATGGAGAATGTCTAGGCTAAAATCTAGCTCAAAGAGAAAATGAGAGGGCTGAGAGGTGTTACAGCAGTCATAATGCATGCCTAGCATGTGCCCAACCCTGTTCAATTCTCTACATGGTCCCCGTGGAACATTGCAAGGGTAGTCCTAGAGGCCGTTGAGTACCAGCAGCTATGTCTTTGTACGCCTCCGGCACCATTACTACAGTGCCCAAGCACAATGGAATCTTCAGGGCCCTACACTAAAGCACCTGCCTGACTGGCTAAAAACACCAGTGAGGTCCCCAGGCCTTCTGAGCACCGTGTGAAAGCCCCCTGATCAAATTTAAATAGAAACTCCTACATTTTTCAAATGTAATGACACATTTTTTTCCTACCATTCTGTCTGTCATTACCAAAAAAGAGACCTAATCCTTCCCTCCCCCAAAATCTCAACATTCATCTCAAGGACACTCATGAAACAATCATATTCAATACTGCATGGTCATATTTCAAGAAGAAACCAAAAAGTTCCTCCTTCTCATCTTCAAAGTGCAGTTACAGATGAAGCCAAACTGCTGGAACAAGTTATCGAGATTTATGTATTTAAAAATAACTGGGAGGAGGGATCATAAATCGGAGGGAACCAACCTGGGGAGTACTAACAAGAAAGGTCAGTGCAGACTAAAGCTAACTATGAAAATCTGGGGATTGTGTGCACCTTCTTCTAGTAAGATAAGCCAGCTGCTAAATATATTAAAACGATAAGTCATCTTCAGGCAAGGAGATGGCTCAACGGGCTGGAGTGCATGCTTGGTCTGTAGGGAGGCCCAAGTTCAAGCCCTGGCACCATTTAGTCTCCCAAATACCATTGTTATGACCCCTAAGCCAACAATAAAAACAGTCATCTTCTACTCACACAGATCTTTATTTTACTATTTGGCTTTCAGCTTAGGGACCAGCACCCAGAGGGGCTAAGGGTCTACTCCTAGGTGTGCAATTGAGTCGGGGGAGGTGGAAAGTCACTCCCAGCAAGTGCTTAGGATACCATGTGGTGCCAGGGATAGAACCCAGGCTTCCAGCATGCAAAGTCTAAACTAAGCCAATCACGTTATCTCTCCAGCCCTTGATCTATATTTTAAATGTATTTTCAGCTCTTCTCCCTAGCCCCTGCTGCTTAGTGCTAAGAGTGTTGGGCATACACGGGAGTTAGGAATACACATTTAGTTCCAACATTTTAGGGGATAGAGCTGAGTGGTTGAACACATGTCATGAAGGTGGTGAGGCCCTGGGTTATGTCCTTATTATCACACTGAAAAATTAATTGACAACAACAAATAAACCTCTGAAATATTTTTTTCCTTTGGGGACTGGAGAGAAAATTCAAAGCACATGTGCACATTCAGCAAGGTCCAGAGTTTAATCCTTGACACCAGTATGCTCCACACCCCAAATCACTGGGTGTAGCCCTGGTGGTCTCCAGCATCCCCAGGTCAAAACACTAGATCATACCCTCATGCTGAGGATCAATTCGATCGGCCCCTGAACACTGCTAAGGAAGACCCACAAACACCGCCCCTCCCCCCGCACTGATCATAATGACAATCTCTTTTGATAGAGTAAACAGATACTGTCAATCATACTACCTAGTTTGGCAAAGTATGATTAAGTTAGACTAAGTGTGTCATGCTAATCTAATCCATCTCCTGTCCTTTCTAGACAACTCTGCCATGCTAGTTTCTTAGAAACAGTTTTTATCTCTTGATCAACTGACTTCCTATTTAGGGAAGCCCTCTACTCTGTGTTCCCCACCTGCTTTTTGCCCATGGCCCCCCACTGGAATTCAGCAAACAGCCCCTCCTGTATGCACAACAATGTTATTATAGGAAACATGAAGATAAAGAAGACAGAGTCATGCTCATTCCCTGTAACAGCAAAAGTACAATCAGAGACCTTAGCCCAAAGCTCAGCTCAAAGGACTGGAATGCCTGCCTGTCACGCAGAACACCAGAGAATCTGATCCCTGACACCCCATGTTGCAGCTAGCATGCCAGGCATAGTGGTGGTGGCTCCCAGAACCACTGGGGAGGGTACCCCCCTCAAAAAAAGAAAGTCAGGCCATGAATTGTGATTCAGCAGTACAAAAAAAACACATATATTAAACCCTGGATCCAGTTGCTAAAACCAGCAAACGTTTTTAAAAAAAATAAAAAGGAATGTGGGAAGGCAGAGAGATAATACAGAGGAAAGGGTGCTTGCCTTTCATGCTGCCAACCCAGATTCGATACCTGGCACCCCACAGGGTCCCTCAAGTACTACTATGAGTGATCCCTGAGTGTATAGCCAGGAATAACTTCTAAGCACCTCTGAGTGTGACCCAAAAACAAGTCAAAAAAGGAATATTCCAGCTGGAGAGATGACTACATGGACTGAGTGCATGCCCTGCATGCAGGAGGGTCCAGTTTGGAACCATGACAGCACATGTGGTCTTCCAGGCATGCCCTGAACACAGAGCAGCCTGTGAGCACCACTTTGTGTGGCCCTCAAATCAAAACAAATGCAACAACAGTAATGCGGAATTAGCCACATATTAGGGTATGATTCAGTTATACAACAGAGGAATGAAAGCAAATTAGTAGCATAGGGGAGATGGCCCTTAATTCCACTTAGTGGCATGAGAATAAGAAAACATTTTCTAGTGGAAGTGTCATCTGAGCTGAGTCTTTTGTTGGGGGAAGGGAGGTTGAGGCCATACCTAACAATGCTCAGGGGTTATTCCCGGATCTGCACTCAGGAATTATTCCTGCAGTAGTTGGGGGAATCATATGGGATGCTGAGGATCAAAGCTGGGTCAGCCACATGCAAGGCAAGTGTCCTACCCACTCTACTATGTCTCTAGCCCCTGAGAAAAGTCTTAAATGACATGGCAAACACAAACAAAAAGGGAGAAAAGATGCCAAGACGCAAACCCAAGAAAGTTACCCATGGGGACAATTTTGTGTCATGTCGGGAGGTGTGACACAAGCATAGCATGGATAAGTGGAGGCAGGGCAATGAGCTGAGAATGATCACATCACTATGTGCCTGCAATGTCATGGCAAGAGCTTCCAGGATATAAGGATATAATAAGACAACTGATCAGGAGCCAAAAGGCTTTGAGGCCCATCTGAAGGGTGCTATCTTTTTCTTGGGAAAATGGATGAGGGCAGTACAACACACCCACAGACAAGACTCTGGGTTACAAAGAATGAAATGACAAAGCAGTGGGACAGGGAGGAAAGTGAGAGATTCACATGATGTGTCAAAATTGTCCTCAAATGTTCTGGGTAAATACTTGACCACAGGTACAGACAGGGTGGGGGCTGGCAGCGCAGGGTAGCACTGAAGAGGACTTTGAGGTGTCTACTTTTGAGTATTTGGGTGGGTGGAGATGCCACTAACTGCGACAGAAATGAGCAGAGGTCTTTAGTAAATTTCTCAGTGATCCTATTTGAGAATGAGAGCAGAGTACCTTGAGAGTCCTACCTGAACCACATCAATGCAGGCGTCCAAATAGATGCAACCTTTAGATTCTTTTGAATTTTTCTCATCTTTATAGGAATTGAGAATATAGGAACCATCAGGAAGCTGAGTTAAGTAAAAATACCGTCTCTTGAATACCTATGGGGGGAAAAATAAGGATCCATTGGTTACATGTACATCTTATGTGAACAGCTTCTTTGAACTACATACAAACCTTAAAGGGCAGGTCACAGGCATAGTATCTGAGTCAGCTTCAGACAACCTCAAGAAGGCACTAAGAATTATAATTAGATTCAGGGTTTTTAATGGAAACTTGGGGGTCTTTTTTTGGTAGCACAGGGGAGATGAGGGTGTTGAGCCACACCTCATTATGCTTGGGGGATATTCCCTCTATTGTTGCTCAGGGGCCACACACCTGGTGGTACTCCAAAAGATAATCCCAAGTGGTTAGCCTGTGGAGATATATTTCCAGCCCTGATATGTAAAGTTTGAAGTCAAGTGATTTACTCCCAGGTAATCAAATATTTAGAGGAGGACAAGACTTTTAACTCTAATGATTATCAAGTAGTTGTATATTGTAATCACTGTTCATCCCTCTATAGCTTCCATTTCCCTTTTCACTGCAAAGCAGGACTGAGTTCTTAGAGTTTCTTTCATAGCAACAGAAAGGTTCAAAAAAACCAGTGAGCTGGTTTATTTATTCATTCATTCAGTTTTCAACAAATATTTTCTCCTCTATATGGTCAGGTTTCACAGATATGGATTGAACCAATCCTTGGATTTCGATTGGTTGCATGCACAGATGCCAGTCCCACATTGTGCAATGAACAACTTATAAATATAAAAAGATCCATACGTAATCATGCACCTCTATCACATATATACACCATACTACAATCAACCATCTGATTATCCAGACTGCCCTCTGCCTACCTGAAGAACTTTAATTATGTAAAGAGCCTTATTCTATAAGATCATTCTTGAAAACTACTTCACTTCTGACAAAGTACCTGAATATCAATAATTTATTTCTTTATAGCACAAGTAAACAAAATACAAAAACATGCTAAATGGCTTTTTAAAAAAAGAAAACCAGTAAAATGACATCAAACACTTACAGTCACTCTAGATGTGTTTAAATATCATTGATTTTGAATGAATGACAAAAATATACCAGCTTGAGGAACACCCTAACAGGTTAGACTGGTAAATGGTACAGCTTCTATTTCAAGGAGTGGCCATGTGGGTTATATATAATCAACACAAAGGAGTTCAGGCAGAAAATATCAGTTTATTTTCCAAATACCAGGCAAGTAATTTTTACTCTACTAGGACACAAAGGAACAGAAAGTGTGTAAGAACATCACATAATTTCATACATATGCATATATATGTACATATATTCTCATATTACTTACCCATAATTAAGTTTACTGAAGTAATAATTGATGAAATCTAGGTGCATATACAAGGAAAACATCCATCATAATTGTTATTATATGTTTATATTTATCATAATGGCCCACATCTTTCATAAAAATTATACACTGAGTCTCTTTTCAATGAACAGGTGCAGAATACTTAACTTTGTAAAAAATACTACTTTTTAAGAGTTATTAAATAAATTTTTATGGAAAAAATTAAACAAGTGACCAACCAAAAATTCATGAAGAGGCCAGGAGACAATGCAATGGTTAGGGCACATGCTTTGTTTATGCCCAACTTAGGTTTGATCCCCAGCACAAGGCCTCCAAAACCTGCTATGTGTAGCCCTGGTGGTCCTCAGCACCACAGGGATCAAGCAACACTGCATCCTCACATTGAACTTCTAGTTGGTCAAGAATTTCCAGGAGGGCTTCCACCCCCCAAGCCTCATGAGCACGCTTGGGAGGCCCAACGTCATGAAAAAAGTACAACCAGATTAGAATATGAATTATGATGAAGTTAAATATCTGTAGAATTCACTTGCAAAGCTGCAGGCAGCAACGACAGGGTCAAGGAAGGGAGAACACAGAGAAAAACACTCCTGGCACTGAGTCAAATTAGAGTCTGTGAGATATTTTCACATACAGCTGTCTCACCAACCAAAGATGCTCTGTGGCAGCTGTCACTTGCAATATTAGCAACACATATAGAGAAGGAAAGGGATCTGGAATCGCTGTAAATCACTCCCTATAACATTGCCATCATGTCTAAATACAATAGTGAAGTAGGGAGCTCATGAATCTGGGGAGAGAACAGATGTCTGAAAGGCATACGATCTTGCCACTCATCTGGCCTCTCATGCTAACTTGATCCCAGACACTGCTTCTTAGTTTCTTCATTTGTCAAATGGTAAAACAAGACCAGATGACACAAGATCATTTCATTCATAACCTACAACTAATTGTATTCCCACTGAACAAGTACCACAGCGGCCTTCCTATGACTATCTTGGGGATCTATCCTCCCCAAGCAATTTCCTACGGGGCTAGAAACACACAGTTTACACAACAAGGATTCATTTGTTAGGCCACAACAGGTGGTGCTCAGGGGCTACTCCCACTTGGTATTCAGGAGTTGTTCCTGGTGGTGCTCAGGGGACTGTGCAATATCAGGGATCAAACCCTAGTCTCCTGGATGTAAAGCCTGTACCTAGACCTGACAACAGAAATTATTTTTAAAGTCAACTCTATAGAAATCACAAACTGCCTGACCAAACAAAAGATCTCTGAGCTATCTAAGATCACTTAGCATTCTAATATTCAACTTCCAGGAAGCTTTGAAGTTGCCTTTGAAAGCAAAAGGGGATTTCCTAAATCACTTAAACAGAACCAAAAGGAAAATCAGAGGCAAGATTTCCCTGCTATTATTTAAATTTCTAAGATGTTGCCATTTAGGGAACAGTCTAAGTATTTTTTTTCATTTCAAAAGGAAGACAGCTGTCAAAACACTGAGCATAGAGAACAGTGGTAATTACTCCGCAGCATACTCTTCATTTGAAGGCCTCAAGCCCTTTGTAATCAATAACTAATTCTTCTAATGTCATATGGAGGTGAGTAGATTATCCACATCTTACCGAGCAGGCGACTGAGAGACCAAGAGGAGTTCAAGAACAAAACAATGAAATCAACAAATATAGCTGGAATCAGAATCAAATGGCAGTAGCAAAAAAATTCTTGCTTTTCACTGGCTTCCCACTAAGGACAGAACTAAGAACAAACTACAGGCAGGCAAGCAGGGGGTTCCTGGAAATTTGGGTTAGAAAACATCATTGTGTGTCCAAGCCAAACCAGCCCAAAGGCATAGAGGCCTTTGATGGAGATATACCCATTGAGAAGACCATAAACTCTCTGAGATGCAGAAGAGCCAAGCTTAAGACTGGATCCCCTGAGAGGTGAGGCTCCAAGAGAGAACAAAGGCTGGGATAAGAATATCAAAGACCATCAACAGTATAACCCCTCCCCCCATGCAACAGCCTAGCAATAGACTTTGGGGGCCAGCTGGGGAAAACCTAATAAAAACCAACTTGTCAGAGACAAAGGTGTGCATTTCCTCATCCTGTACTGTCACCCTCTTCTGACTGAGATGTGATACCTTTCTTTGAATTTATAGAGCACATTCTCCATCTTGGGGATTTACAAATTTGCATCTCAGTTTAGACATCTCAGTTTGGAGGTGTACTCAGCTCTCAGTCCTGTGGAGAAAGCCACTCATAAATATATTTCTCTTCCTCTCTCCTTTCTCTCTACCCTCCCCGTACCTCCCTTTCTTCTCTCTCTTCTCTCTCTTTCTCTCTCTCCCTCTCTTACCCCCAACACCCCAAATAAACTGAAGTTACTTAGCTGTTTGTCTCCTTTCCAAAATTCTTGTCTACAAGGGCAGGAAATCTGAAAGGGATCTGGGTAGAGATCAGATCTGACTGTTCCTATCCTGTAAAAAGCAAATTCGTCTTTTGGGCTGAGTTCCACAGCTTCCCCAAGAAACAGTGTTGAGAATTCCCATTCTGTAGAGATCAAATGGAACTCGGGCACAGTCTGATGACTGCCTGGTAGTGTCAGTGGGACACAAATATTCATGCTGTAGTGGGTTCTTGCGGCAGGTAATCTTCAGTCCTAAACCTCCCAGGCATTTCTGAGATTACCGAGGTGGGCAGAGAAAGACTATAAGCTAGTCCCTCAAGACTACGACCTTTCTTCTTCACATAAAGCCATCTGCAACAACCCCAAATCCTTACCATCATAGCCTGGGAAATTGGCCTCATATTACTTCTTGAACTTTATTTCCAACTATGCTCTTGACAGCTATCCTAGCTCACCTGTTCTTAAAGAGGGCAACAGGCAAGTTCCTTCAGGCCTCTGTCCTTTCTGTTCCCTTGATCTAAAATCTTCCCCCCACCCCACCGGATGCTATACAGTGATCTGAAAACTCTGTTTCCAGGTCTTTGCTTCAATCTCCCCTTCCCTGAGATACCTTCTGGAACCACAGGCTATCATCAGAGGATGCTGCTTTATCTTTTACCTAGAATGGTCACTAGCCAAACACAACTTCATCATCTACCTCCCTATTTTTCTCTTCTAGACTGTTATGGTTCACCACTCTTCTACTGCTGTATCCTCCGGTACCCAGAACAGCATCTGTGCTCCATTAATCCTTCCAAAAATTCATGATAAATAAATCCTTCAATTGCCAGTGCAGACTGTTCAGTGGGGCTTCTTGGTACACAGAGACACTTCACTGGGCTGATGGCAGGTTGTAATAAAAGGCAGGGGCCAGGTTTAGTCCCTTATACTGCATGGTCATCTGAGCACCACCAGGGGTGACCCAACCTCCCCCAAGCACTGAGTCAAGAGTAACTCCTAAGATTTGCCAAGTGAGGACTCCAACAAACAAATAAATTAAAAATACTAATGCTTCTCTGTAATGTCCATATTCTTCCTCCTCCTTTCACCATAAATCGTTTTCCTAGATGGTAAACTTTGTTGAAAATCCCCCATCTTCTACTGTGAAAGGTACTGATTGTGATGAGTGGTCCATTCAGACCACCCAGAAGACCAAAACAAAGAGGAAGCCAAAGGAGATAATTCCCTGGAATCGGTCCTGACAAGTCCCCCTGAAGGCCCCAAGCTGTCTGGATGACAACCTTTTGAACATTTACC